ACATTTCACTTATTTTTATTTAATTTTTTAATTTTCAACTCCTTAAGAAAGCTGGTAAGGCTTTTAAATTAATTAAAACAAAGAAAAACTTTAACTTCGCTTGCACCCAAGCTATAATAGCCTTCACAAATACAAAAGATTCCTTAAATGAACTTTATTTGGTCGGCCAGTTAGTATGACAGCTATATGCTATAGTGATCCGATCTGAACAATTTCTTTAGAGATTAATCCACGCCAAATTTCTTGTGGATATCTCGTCAAATGAAAAAGTTTTCTATACAAGCACTTGAGTTCGATCGTTCAGTTTGTATGGAGCATTGTGTTATGGTGGTCCGTTATTGGTTTTGGTTTTGACAAATGAGCAGCTTCTTGTAGTGAAAAGAACGTGTGCAAAAATTCAGAGCGATAACTCAAAAACTGAGGGACTAGTTCAAGAATATACATACAAACGGACATGGCAAAATCGACTCAGCACAACACGCTGAAAATTTATATCTCTCCAACGTTTTTTTCTGGGTGTTAAAAACTTCGTGGCAAACTTAATATATCCTGCTCAGAATATAATAAATTTAAATAAAATACGAGCATTTCATTTCGATAATAATTAAAAAATATTTATTTATATTCGAGCAATTCAATTTACTTAATATATTATATTAATAATATCACATAAGTTTGCATAAATAACAATTGATAGAGCTATATAACATTCGGTGGTTATATCATTTCAATATCAACGCGTAATGCTCTTTGTGGGAATACTTGAATCGCAAAACAATGCTAAAAAAATTAATTTTTTTAAATTAAAATTAAAAAGTGTTTACATACATATTACGAGCATAATTAATTCTTTACTTACATCAGAAATATGAAGGCGATTGTGTATAAAGCAGCGCTGACTATGTTAAATAGACCCGGGAACATTTTTAAAGACTCTTTATAGATAACTGTGTAGAGCGGTGCTGCCAAAAAGGGCGCAATGGATTGCAAAACATTTTTTATGGAAAATATTTTGCCTAGTGTGAAGAAAAAATAATAATATTTCATTATTTATATGTTTTATTTTAATTTAAAAAAAAAAACAATTTCTTACCCAAATCAGTTGGGGGCACTATATTCGATACAATGGTACGACACATTGGACCACCAACCGATCTGAACGCGCTCAAGGCAACAGCCAAATACAAATGCCAAGGCTCCGAAGCCACACCTCTTACAATGCTGCTGGCAATATCGCTGAAGAATGCAAGCAGTGCCAAAGTGACCACGGACATGCTGAAGACCTGAACAGAAAAGAAAATATTATAATATCTGTCTGTTCTTCTTCATTACTACACGAGTATTGGGGAAAATTATGGGGCCACATGTCAAAATAGCTTAAGTCTTAATTAAGTTGACTAAGGTCGGTAATAATGATATTTATATATATCTTTTATCTTAGTTTTATTATAATTTAAGCTTCTAAATCATAAATAAGACTCAAACAGTCTCCATTAACTTAAGTCGACTTAAGCTACTTTAACATATTTTTTCAAAAATATTAACACTCTTGCAAAAATTAGAGTTTTAATCGACCTAGCTCTGTGACCTCAACAATAGTATCGAAAAAATCAAATATAACACGGTAAGATAAATGCGATTCGTGCTAAGAGCGAAATTCTGATATCTAATTCCAGAGATTCCTCAGATGAGATATGTCCGAAATTGTCGCGAATTCGAAGTGCAAGAACCCGAACAATTAAAATTCAAGTACGATTTTGTCGTCCCATAAAGTACCATAAATGGTATGCAATCCGTTTGGACGAAGTTCCGGAGAGCCCTTCTCATAGTTGGACAACCTTGGATGAGAGACAAAAGTAGCTGCGTCAGCAAAAACAAGTCTTAGAGAACCAGCCTTAAGACGATCAACAACGAACTAAATGTTCAACTTTTGTTATATAAGGTGACAAAAATACCATCTGAAAGCTGACTATTTAATTAAGACATATATTCTGAAAACAATCGCGTTATAAAAAGAAATCCATATACCATATTTAATCGAAAAGAATATTAGTCATAGCTGAGTCGCCTTACCTTACGTAATATCAAGAAACCAACCAGGGCGCCAAACATGGGCACCATATGACTAACCGTCTCATAGAATGTAAAATCACGCACGGTCCAATGAAATTTCTCACGCACAAACAAGTAGAAGACCGTCATGGCACCATCTGTGAATGCAGGTATAAATAAAATTCAATCAAAACAACTGCACATTCCACCATGATTACTGTGAGTGTTATGTACGATATACAGTTATTTACACCTGTACTACAGTTATATACGAGTGCATTTATTTTTGCAACCAACTCACCGATTACGAATATCGAAAGAAACATAGTGCCAGTTACAAGCCAAATAATGCTACGATCGTAGTATGGCCGCGTCTTGAAACAAGTCACCAACATATCCTTAATATGCACGTAGCTGAAAAGCCCCGCCTTTTTAGACTTCTCCTCAGCGGATTTTTCTTCATTACTTGGATCTTTCATTGCGAAATTCTTCATATTTGTGTTCTTATATGCCTCTTCGCATGCGCTCAGATCCTTTTTGGTTTCCTTTCCGATGGCCTCATCGGCTGTGACCTCAACAACTTTGCCTTCAGCATTTATAGTGAGCTCACTTATATGCTTTGCTTGCATGTGCTTTGAGATTTCCAGACTATCGATATTTGTGTTTTCTATTTGTTTTTCTTTAATATTTTTTTGTGTAAGCACTTTGTCACAACAACCATTCAAAGTAGTTGTTGTACATTTGTTTGTTTCGCTAGTTTCTTGTTTGGAACAATAATGTAGACTTTCTGGCACGCTGACGACGATGTACACAGTTGCGCCGCACATGAGTAAACCGGATATGATGAATGTGGTGGTGGGTCCAGTGGCAGCATAGACGAAACTTGAGAGCAAAGAGCCGCCCATTAAGCCGATGAAAAAGAATGCTTCCATGAAAATCATTCTGAAATATAGGCATAGGAATGAAATGTGTACATAATGTGAATATTTTAAGCAAGCATAATATTGGTGATCAGAAATAAGAAGCTAAGTTCAGGTGCTATTGTCAATAGTAAGATTTCTGCTATACTATATTGAAATCTAAGTTTTTCAAGCATAAATCCGAGACATATGATACGAAACTTAATATATCCAATTTGATAAAGGTTCGATCATGCTTAGTAGAATTTTTAAAAGATATATTTTCTAATGGCTTTTTGTGAGAAAAAATGCTGACTTTTTTCCGGAAGAAGTCTGTGAAATTCATTTTGGGAATACTCTCTTTGGTTAAAGTCATATACTAAAATATTGTGCAGTGTTTTTCAAAACATAGTTGTAGAAATGGAGTTAAGCGACTAAAATAAGTGTATATGTATTAGGATAGTATACATAAGAAAGTAACAAGTATATATAATCAATTTTCTTTTATGTACTCCAGTTGTCCTCTTTTCGACAAACTTTGCAGAGTGGCGAATCGAACAAACAATTGGCATAACTATTTTTACAAGAGAGCAGAGCTCAAAGAGAGAAAACAGATAAGTGGAGGATATAAGAATGCTACTTGTATTAAGCCCGGAAAATTGTTTGTGGTATTTTTCGTTTAAAATACATATTATTTTATTAAATGTATCAAATTTATGTTCAAAAAAAAAAGGTTCATTAAGCAAAGACCTTTTTATTTTTTTCCTAAGCTCTACTGATCCTTAAAATTTCACAAATTTCGTGAGAAAGTTTTTCTAGAATACCTTATACGATAGTAGTTTCGAATTCGGCCAATCTATAGTGAACTTCTTAGTACGAAAAATGTTTAAATTTAAGTAAGAACAGGCTTAGAAATATATTAGTAATAATAATAGTTAATATTTTCGAAGACTCCTGTTTCAATTCAACTATTTTTTTTTTAGTTTTGAACAAATTTATAATAAATTCTAGCTATGACAATTAAAAATAATACGCTAAGTTTACAGGTACTATTTTGCTCAGAAAAATATCTGATAAGCAACAAATTATTCTCATTTAAAAAATAATATTACTGTTATTATAATTTTTTTTCTACATTTGTTTTAGGAAATGTGCGAATATTTATAGACTGAACTCAGTAAAACTCCAAAAAGTATCTACTTATATTAATTATATGTATGTAATATGTTTGCCTATTAAAAACCTGAATTTTTATTTCCATCTCTCATTATAATACATTTGGTAACTTAAAGGAGTGATTTTTAAATTATTTACGTTTTAGAAATTGGACGAAGAAAATTGTTTTATTACAATTCATCAGCTTTTATATTTTTGAATTAAAAATTTGAACCCGACCACCTTTGAAACGCCCTATGAATAATACCCTTTAAAATATATATATGACCTTTATTATTTTGGGTAAAGCTACCGGCCTTGTTTTCAGTCTTCTATGTGGCAGAATGATCGTGACGGATTGGCGTAGCACCTGCTCGGCGAAATGTCAGTAGGGGCACTCCTCAAGGTGGAGTTCTTTCTTCTCTTCTACGTATCTTTGTCGTCAACACCTTGCTGAAAAAACTTGAGGCTCATTACTGCCGGATGATCGCGTATGCAAACGATGTAGAACTCATGATCAAAGAAAAGTTCTTGAGTACTGTGCAAGCCTATCTCAGCGTCGTAACTAATTTGGAAGTAGCCCTACCATTAACCCAAATAAAACTATTTACTTGGAGATACAAGATCCCGAAGGCACCACTATCGCCTGCAACATGCTGACACAGCGAATTTAGGGCTCGGCCTAGATAGGAAGTTTTCAAGAAAACCTAATAGCGTGGAGAGAGCAAGAAAGGCATTGATTGCCTTGTACTGCTGCAGAGGAGTCATTGCCCAAAAGTGGGGTCTCTCACAGAAAATAGTTCTCTAGAGCTACGACATCATAGTCAAGCTCATTATGTTCTATGGGGTTTTGTGTTGTGGTGGGTTCTTGAAAGGACAACAGTTGCTAGGAAACTCGAGAGCGTTCAACGAGAGGCCCTCTTAAGCATATATGGTGCACTAATTTCCATACCAACCATGACACTTAAAGACATTTTGTATATATATAGTTTCCAAAGATATCGCCGGAAGGTGTATGGCCCCGAAAGTTGCTCTCAAACTCAGAGAATCTGGGCTTCTAAACATGTGTCTGAACAATTGGAAATCCTCGCCTGTTTTGCCTTTATACCGGATATTTTGGATCAAGGATTCTGGTTAGATAGGTTGTTACCATTAAGGTAGCGATAGATTTACTGCTCCGGAGTGCAGCCTCCTACAGAGAAGTGACTCTTCACTCTGATATCAGTGCGGGATACTAGCCTCACTAACCGTGCGTTCAACGTTGGTAAAGGCATGCCGAACCTCGTTGTCATTGGTAACAAGTCACTTTGTGATACGTCTACTATAGGTGTCAGGCCACAGTGGAATTGTAGTTAACTATAAAGATAACGAGCTAACAATAAAAGGCACCCTTGGCAACACTTCCTTCTTGATTATCCAGCGTTTTCGAGATCAAGGCTTAAACACTTGGGAGCTCAGATTTTCAAATATCCCACCGCACTGATAGGAGTAGAAATTAAAGCAAAGTTGTACCTATTAATATTAGATTGGATACAAGAGTTCTATTTTTATGGCTTCACAAAAGACTTCACATAGTACTCCAAGTGCAATCCCTGAATCAGCCATCGAATCTAACCTAGTCTACCGGCAATTAAAATTGGTTTTAACTTTACTACTTTCCATGTGAAGCCATATACATGTATGTATATATGTACATATAATTGAAGCAAAATTTACAAGAACAAAGAACTCCAAGCACTCTTACATATAAAACCTAAACTCAACTGAAGATATTTTATCTCCAAATATATATAGAGATTACTTAAGTATACTCAAAATTTAATAATTAATTAAGTATAAGTATATGCACATATACATTTACATACATACCTATAGGGTCTCGTCTTCGTGTCGGTAACATCGGATATAAAGCAGAAAGCTGCCACAGAAAACACACAATTTCCGCCTAAAACGGAGTGTGGCACCACAGCCAGCACGTAGTACCAAGGGTTCACTGGTTGATAAACGGCTATTTGACAAATCACCGCCGCGATGATGTAGGTGAAGGAGAAGCCTATAGGGTTTCAAAATATTATCATGTAGCAAAATATTTATTTATGTTTATACTAAAATTTATAGGCAGACATACTTATATAATATATATTTTCGTACCTATCATTGAGATGACCAAGAGTGGCTTGCGGCCATAGTGATCCGACCATGAGCCAATGAAAACGCCACACAACGCCGGCACAATGCTCTCCAATAGTGTGCGAATCATAAACAGATTTGCCACGTACGGCTGCACTTCGGTTTCAATTTTCTATTAAAACCAAAATCAGGTAACAAAACAAATATGAATGAAAAAACATATGTAATTGTATTTAGTGATAAATAAATGTCATTAAAATTATTGCGTGACTACGCAAGGCATACAAGTTGCCCTGTAGGAAAAAGTTACCAAAAAGAATTTATTTTTACGGATTTAGTGTCAACGGTTATTACATGTAATAACTGTAAATCACCATGCAAGTTGTGCGAATGTTTTGTTAAACACTATATTTTTCCTACAGGGTTTATACTATTACGTATACGAGTATGTAGTCCGATATATTTTTATATAAAAATTACCGTTGCTTGTTCGCTAGCGTTTTTTGTGCCCAATTCTTCGCAAATGCTTTCATTGTAATTGAATACTGTTGTACAGGCCTGATATATGATTTGATTTCGTAGTATGGTGCCTGCGGGGTAGAAAGTAATATAATAAAATGCAAATCCATTATTTTTCGATTGAAACCAAATTATCGTGTTAAAAAACACTTAGATTATCCAGTTTAGATAAATATAATTAGCAATCACTTGAGCAGTTATAGCCACGTGTATTGTTTGTAATGAATCGTGGGTTTCAATTTCTTTTCAATGGCGAGATTATCACATGAATTGATCAGCCTTTCGAAGTTAACTTAAATAGGCAAAATCCTTCGTTTCTCGAATAAAATCAAGTCATGCTCAAGTACGCGGGAAGCAAAGAGCTCTATAGGGTAAAGGAAACGGTCAAGTCCACTGAATTTCGTTAAGATATCACACTTAGTTTCAGAGTTATGTTATGGAAGTTAGAAGAACTGTCATACTGTGCTGTGCAATCGTTGCTTGTTTTTATAGAGAGAACAAAATTCCAAGTAATTTTGAGAAATCCTGCCGAGTTGATGATTTCTGACCGAATATAAATCCGAATCGGTTTCGGTTCTGGTAAAACCGATTGTCGCAAGAACGAATCGAATTTTGGGCTTTCGTTATCGGACAAGTTAATTTTATTTCTTTATTTTCTATGAAACTACAAATTCTGATGATGGCGATATCAAACCAGAAGGGTAGAAATTATAGAGGTTAAAATATTTTTCGTCGTGTTATTGAATGCAATACCATAAAATACATTATGAACGGAATATCGAATACTAATATAATGGAGGTAAGCATATTTGCTAACATTTTCTCCTGTCAAGTTTTATCGAAGGGATAACTTAAGTATTTTTTGTTAATATCTAGCAGAAACCAAACGTGATAGATATGTATATAAGTGGTGCTTCCATCTTTCGAGGTTAAGGGGCGGAGACAACTGATTTGATCACTACCAAATTTAGTCTGCATGTTCTGTATATATGTACAATAGTTCTCCATACAATGACCTACCAGTTTTTTGTTGTAATCAAAAAACGAGTTTTGGCAAACCCAATTCACGTTTTTTTTATACGCTATCATATTGTTAATTGTTATACCCTGAACAGGGTATAACTTTCGTTGTTGATTTACGTAAGTACCTGCCGACGACGGCCTTACCTCACGGTGCTCCAAAGCACAACGTATCAATACAATGCGTTGATAAGCGCCCCAAATAATACGAGCTATTTGCAAGTATTAAATTGGTTACCAGTGGCAGTGTGTCTGGGCCCACACTACCATCTTGGTAAGATTCGAGGCCGACCTAAAACCTCTTCCGTTTTCGATTACGGAACCCAGTTGCTTTTTGCAACTTCTTTTTAGAACTGAAAGAACAGTTAGGCTGAATTTTCAGCTCTTCCTGCATTTAGGTTTCAACCACAGCCACCACGAATCTCCCCAAAGGGGCCATAACCCAATGAGCAGATTGGACCGAAGTCCAAGGGCTTTCTGCTCCCCGTAGTACCAGAAAGTCTCCGGTAAGACTGTGTAGCCGAAACTACTACCAGTTGAGCAACCCATTACTCAATAACTGGTGACATTTGTCGCTTGAACTTCAAATGTCTTTTTATTTGTTTTCGACACAAATTATTGTTAAAGGCAGCGATACAATTTCCGAACATATTGTTCAGATCGAGCCACTTTAGCATATATGTATGTAGCTGCCATACAATCTGACCGATAATAATTCCTTTTAGGCTATGCACCTGTGAAGGGTATTACAGCTTCGATGCCGCCAAAGTGAAACTTTTTCCTTGTTTTTAATTATTTTCTTGTATGCATTAGTTAATTCTGTCTTTAGCGAGATTTCGATGTTATTAAAGCATAGTACTATATGTATGTATAACGTGCGACTCCGCCACAACGACTGAATCTAGTGATACGTAAATTGAGAAACTTTCTAGCATTTATCGGAGATGCTGATGATAATATTTGAGAAGTTCCGGTTTGACACGGGGAATCAAAAAATTCGTTAATTTATAAACCAGTTACTTCTTAAATGCATATTAATATTACCTCCAAATGTATATACAGCGAAATTCGGATTACTATCTTTAACGACAGAAATATGTTAGCTTAGAATTTGTATGTCATCGCAAAATCTCAACCCAATTTGGTACACAACAAGACAAAGTTCAAACTTTGCGTGTGTCAAAAATTGATTACATTCGAATGGCTACAGTTATGAATTAAAAGGCAAAAACAAATTTGCTGGCATCTAATTTTATTACTAACGCCAATTCTAATTACCGGATAGACTATGCGCAAACACCAGCACTAAAACGATTGGTTCTATGTAGTACATGTGGAATACTTTGCGCCATTGCAACTGCTTCACGCGCGCTAACATTGTGGTGGCCACTTTTTCAACCATTTTTTTTTTTTTGTTTGAAATTAGTTTATCGTTTAATATACAAATTATTATTTTTATATATTTAAATTGTTAAAAACTTGGTCACTGTTTAATTAAAATTTATTAATTTTTTTGTATTCTGTTGCTATATTCACACGCTTAAACATTTTACGGTAAAACTGTTGAATTACCGCAAGCGGAACTGTTTCGTGTGACGGCACATCTAATACTGAACGATTCGAACACTACTCTACCGGCAGCCAGTTATTGTCCAATGTGTTAATAACTTCGCAAACACTACAAATGTTATGAATAAATTTAGAATTTAATTGAAAACTCTAATTTACACAAACACATATTTATATAAAAATAAAAGAAAAATCTTCAATATCCCGAGCGATGCGAGAAATCATTTACTTTTTTTTATCGTTTTTAACTATAAAACGTGATCAAACCGAGATGAAGTGTCACAGTAAGCCAATTGCAACAGCAGCATATATACGCACAACCATGTATATATGTAATAACGTTAATAGTAGCAAATCGCGCCGCCTTTTCCGTTAACGCTTCGCTAGTTCTGCGAGCTATTTGTTGACATTCTTTCCACCTGTTTGTAAATCTCACTATCACCGCCGCCTTGTTGGTGCGAATATATTGATCATCACTGGCATTACTTGAGTGCCGCGCGCACGCATCCGCTCCAAGTCGGAATTAATTTGAAACTAACTTCATTGTTGCAGTTATCACGAAAAAATCGCCGCATGTGAAGTCGCTAGTTGAGTCGCATAGTTAAAAAAAAAAACATTTACGTAAATACGAAACTAAGCGGTAACACACGAAAACAAACATATGTCGGTATGTACATATGTATGAACCAGTATGTTGGTACGAATTATAGAAATTTATATAAACAAATCATTAAGCGTTCGAAGATACCTATGTTAGATACAGTCAACAATACATATATATTTGTACGAGCAGATTTGTGATTCGACACGAGATTAAACGATCAAACGATCCGAGCTATTTACTTAATTTTATATTAATTACTATTTTTATTATTTTGTGTTTGACTGTTACACATGCGCCATTATATATGTATATGTACATATAATAAAAGCACGCATGATGTATTGTACATACATACATACAAGTATATGGAATGGAGTAATAATCTAATGATCCACTGTTTTCAGCCAAATAGTTATTATTAAGTAAAGTTTTTATTCTACGAAAACACTTGCACTCAATCCCACTTTAGAATGATGATAATTTGGGCCAACAAAGCTTGGAATTTTTTGGTGTAATTCTCACCCATTTTATATTTTAGAGATTTATTAAAAAAAAAAAAATTATAATATATCTTTTGTTTATTTGGATTATACTATACTTGTGGACATGTTGCCAATATGTCACAAATCAGTTCCAAGCTTATTCTAATGGATAAAATAAAAATTTTGCGAAAGAATTCAGTATTTATAAGCTTTGGAAATATACGAATTTTGAATTTTATGATAACATCAGTAAAATGAAGCAAATTACAATCCAGCAATCTGCTTATTAAAAGATATTTTGGGGCGATAATTCTGCAAATCTGGAAGTAGTATTCCATATCGTATCAGCTGGAAGTGAGAAGGAGTTGTCCTTCCTCTTAAGCCTATCCAATTTTGAATGAGATAAAGTGTAGCATAGTCGCACGAATAAATTTATATCATTTTCATTGCAGAATAGATCATAAACTACAAGTGAAGGAAAGCTACTAGCAAATTGGACTTTCGTCTGAACCAGGCGACGGTTGCTCCTTATTTAAATAATTAAGAATAAATAATAAGGATAATAAAAAGAGCAATTTTTGATTGAGCTATGACATTGAAGGTTAATCCGATACAAATAGGTTTAAAGTGCTTAAAACAGATTAACATCGAAATAATAAATATCAATTATTTGAAATATTATAAAACGAAATTAAAATAAGAGATAAATAAAAATACATATTAAACTTCTTTCAAGAAGATCAGTTAATGGAATTAAATTCGTTGATAACAGAGAATTTGAAATGTTATGTTCAATATTGGTATTCATAGATAGTTTATGATTTTTTAAATATTAAACTATAAACTAATATTCCTTTAGCTACTATCGAACTAATGCCTGATTTTTAAAATATCGTATATATGATAACTAGTTTTAAAATTTTATTTTCGATTTAGCATTTTCTGAGTATCAAGTTTTTCGAGTCTACATCAATAGAAGCAAACAAATTTTTTAACTAAAATCAAGATTATACAGTGTACCGTACCGAAACTATAACACCCTTCACAAGTGCATATAACTAACTCTGAAAACGTAAGCGGCCAACGGTTTGAATCCAACAGAACAAGTTTCGCTAGTTTTTTCTAACCACGTTGTTTGATACGAACAATCTTCAAGTCCAATTAAGGTTAATAAGAAAGGCTTAATAAGAAAATAAGATACGACGTTTTATGAAGATTTTAATTTTGAGACTCGCGCGTATATACAGACAGGCAGACGGACATAACTCAACTCGTCACGCTAATCATTAATTACGTACCATATATACATATGTATACCTTATAAGGTCTCAGACATTTCCTTCTGGGTGTTACAAACTTAGTGGCAAACTTAATCAGCATCAATTAAAGCGAAGCCTGTTATTGGGTAACTTATTTAAAATCCTTGTCTCATATATGTACAAAGAAATTTCTTAATAAAAGGAAACGATGCAGTACTAATAAACGAAATTTTACGCAAATTATGAAAACATACACATTTCCAAAAGTGTTTAGGTAAAAATTCTGTTTCACATACCGCCTTCAGTCAACAAAACAGTTATTTGCTTTGTTCCGATAAATGAAAATAATTATCTGAAATTATTGCTGTTTTATTTTTTTTTAATAAAATTATTGTGATTTAATTAATTTGTTTTTTAATAAACAAAACATTTTCGATTATTTAATATATATATTTAAAAGAAATTAAAAACATTTTAAGGGGTTAAGCTAGTTTAGAGCCTCAAACAAGCCTAATTCTGACAATTTATTCTGGTCCAATCTTAAAGCAGGGCTAAGTTTCTAAGAACTACTATTTGAAACAACCTAAAAAAAAGATATATAGAAGACTTGAAAATAAAGTACGCACGTTTTTACACAAATTTTTCGCTAACATACAAAAAAGTTGACGTTTTTGACTGAATCTGTAATTTACTAGTTAATATTACAGTGAAACTATAATGAAAATTTCAATATGCGATAGTTGCGAGCACCTATGATGGTCGATTTGAAAAATACAGTTATGAGAAAAACGTGTCTAAAGTTGTATGTACTAAAGCTGGCTCAACCAAATCCTTAGAACCCTTTAGTGTACTTTAAAAAAAGCCAAAAATTCGGTTTTTAGATTTAAGTCCGATTCCATACATTTATGGGACAATATAAATATATAAATATAATTTAATACCTTACTAGTAAGTTTTTTCTACTAAACAGAGTGTTCTATAAAAAAAGATAAAATAAATTTTATATTAACTTTGTTACGAATTTTCTCTTATATAATATGGTACATGGTACATATGTATGTATATAAATAATGTAAAGAAACTAATTTTATAGATCCTTACCAAAAAGTGTGAGTGATTAAATTTATTTTATTTTAATGATATATGAGCAAATCATGAGTAAAACTCACTAAATTAACTTAATTAACTTAATTAATTTAAGTTAATTTAAAATTTTTGTAATTAAATTTTTTTATTATTTATTTCTATTTTAAATGTTTTAAAATACATACACAACTTAAAAAAATAGATTTAATAGCAAACAAATGATAATGTTTCTAGTGAAATAATATCCAAATATCTGGTATTGTCTTAATATTTGTTGACAAGAAACGCGCATACACAAAGCATACCTGTGTAAATATGTCAACACTCAGCAACTATCGGCAGCAGTTGGAACGCTGTTTCTGTTATATCAGAAATAATGTTTAATAACAACAATAATATTTCAGGCGAAAACTGTCGTTTGTAATCTTCAAACATCACAAAGGAATACCAAATAAACCATATGACATTGCAGATAAAACTTAAACAAAGTATGTATTATATTATATTTGTTTAGCTGCCGCAGCGGTCATTAACCAAGGACACCAACGACATTCATGTTTATCCTTTTTTAATTTGTCGCTCTTTAAATATTTGACTACTAGTTATGGTGCGGAACGAATTCCAAAGTGAGCAAAAACAAATAACAAACTTACTTAATTGGAATAAAGTAATATCAATTATTATTAAACACTTCAAAGCGTATTTGCGATCAAACAGCAACAAAAAATCTATTATCGTACACATTTGCATTTGCGATTTCAGTTGTTCCGGTTTCATTCACTCATAGATGATGAGAGATAATCGTTGATAATTGTTTTTGCATAAATTTTTGCAAATTAATGCACACTAAAAATACTTAATTATATATTTACATTTACTTGTATGTATGTATATGTGTGTGCCTGTGAACAATTGTAAATATTTGGAATTATTTGTCAGGAAACCATTATGAGAACAATTGAATTGTTCGCACTCGATCACACACCCACACACTCTTAAACAAATACACGCATATTTTATCGTTAGCCGGCAAATTTCCCGATACTCATATACATACTTATGTATGTATATATGTATGTACATGTTACGTGAGATTATTAGGAATTCACGACATGTTTCACTCAATGGACGCGAACTCGTTGCAAGTTCAATGCTGAATTTCACACATGAATGCTCATTTAAATATAATACAATACTTTCAACCAGCAAAAAAATATTTATTGTAGTATCAAAAACAAAAAACAAGAAGAAACGTTAACTTCGGTTGCACCGGAGCTCTAATACCCTTCGCAAATAAAACGATTTTTTACAAGAACTGTGATCGGTCAGTTTGTATGCCAACTATATGCTGCAGCAATTCGATTTGAACAGTTTCTTCTTCAAATGAAAAAGTTTTCCATAAAAGCACTTTATTCCGATCGTTTAGTTTGTATGACAGCTATATGCTTTAGTGGTCTGATATCGGCCGTTCCGACAAATGAGCAGTTTCTTGGTTAGAAAAGTGCGGGTGCAAAATTTCAGATAGATATCTCAAAAACTGAGGGACTAGTTGGACTCAGCTCATCATACTGATCATTGATATTTGTATGTACATATATACTTTATAGGATCTCTGACATTTCTTTTTGGTGGTTATAAACATCGTGGCAAACTGTACCCTGTTCAGGTTATAAAAAACACAACTAAAAGCTAAGCTTTAACCACAAAACAAGCTGTCAATTGAAAAGCACGAAATAAAAGCAACTTTGATTTAAAATGGGATTCCCCACAGACATTGTCGAAATTTGTTAATAGGTAATGATGACTTGCAATTTGCTAGCTCATTAGAGTTTGGAAAGGTGCGAACATACGGTTTTTTCATACAAGTAAAAAATGATAAGGCATTTATTTAATTTAAAATGAAATACAGAAATATTAGTGAAATTAGTGATATTTTTCATTAATAGTTCGTAAATTTTATGAATTTACGTAGTGGCGACTGCTTCTTTTGATGATTATCTCAGTGCAATTTGAATTACTTTTTCCAGCTCGCTAATAACGCACCGCATTTTGGTTCCCAGTGGTTTGCATAAATCCTCAGCCTACATAAAAGGAAAATTTTGGAAAATGACTCATTTTTGCTCGATATATTTAACGCATCGATATTCCAGTTTCTTTAACCCTTGTGAAAAATATATTTTCTTTAGGTCAAGTAGTTTCGAATCAGTCAACGAGTTTATGGTAGTACTAATGCATGGTAGAATGTGACTGAGACTGTTTTGCCCTTCTTGGGGCAGTCGATGTAGGTTAGTCACACAATGTTCTTCGGAGTAGGTTTGTCCAATCTTTCGAGTGTTCTTTGGTCTCGAGGGCAGGGCCGTAGAGAGAAAACCGGGGCCAGGGGATGATTGTAGTTAATTTAATTTTTTATATGATTCTTTGCTATACAAAAGTAGCACGCTTAGACAATCTTTGTTGATGACCGAAGTCAAGAGATTTCGGATCAGTATGAACTAACATGAGCTCAATGTGAGTCAGAGCTATTTTCCAAGATTTTCAAATGTTGCTACATTTAAAGATTTAGTAAATTAGTTTTTGAAAAAAAAACCTACAGTAAATGTATGAAAACCATGTGCTTTATCTGACATCATATATTATATAAAAAAATGTACATAACAAATGTACAAATAAAACAAAAACAAGAAAAAACCACTTAAAAGACTGTTAGTTTACAACAAAAAGTTCTGAAATGGAAGCGAACCAATCGGAAAAAGTACTGGATAACACGAAACTGACCATAATTGTACCAATTACAAATACTTTAATATATTTAGGTTATTTTTATGGTTAAGGAGAAAATTATATTTTTTATTTTATATTTGAACTACTTTGTTAAAAATATGCAATATTTTTCAACCAAATGATAATAGATAACTCGTGGAACATCACCAAGTCAAAAATACTTGTTCAATATTAAAAAATTATCAATATCCGTGCTAGATTTAAAGTTCATACTCATTGTAGCATCAATTCGTTTGGTAGCATAATACAGGGTGGCTTACGAATCGTGCTACAAAATGAAACCGTAATAACTTTTTTTCTGTGTGAGTAAACGACTTTTTTTGGCAAGTTATTATATAAGTGTTTTAAAAATGAATGCTTGGGATACTGAAAAGAGGGTTTAAATAGTGCAGCGATACCATGCTTTGCAGTCCATCATTTCTGTACAAAGAGAATTCAACGGGATTTTGTCAGCACTCGCCCAGTAGATGGACCATTATGAGGTTGGTAAACATGTTTGCCGAAACTGGAAGTATCGCAAGAAGACTGTACGTTCGTTTTCAAGTAACAATCACAGCTGTGGCATCGTCAATTCCGGCAAATCCCAGAGTTTCGACTCGCAACTTAACTGTGCAACTTGGATTTAGCAGACGTCATTACAACGGATAATTCATGATGAATTAAACCTGTTTGCGTACAAAGTTCAAATAACAGCAGTTTCGTTAAGGTGTATGTTCGGGCCATACTTTTTTGAAGAAAACGGTGTAACAGTAATTGTCCGTTATTTAAAGATGTTGAATGAGTTGTTTTACCCAGAAGCACCGAAGACGTAATAGCGTTTGGTTCCAGCAAGATGGAACAACAGCAGACATAGCCAGACCAGTTATTGAACAGAATACAAATTAATATCAAGAAAATTCATTTCCCGCTGGCCCACAAGGTCACCTGACCTGACTGCACAAACCTCAGAAATCCGACTGAATTGAAGCAATACATTAAATCGATAATTGAGGCAATCCCGACTTCAACCCTTCAGGCCGCAATGAATAATTTAAAAGTAATTAATTATATAAAATTTACAATAAAAAAAAAATTAATGCATTGATTAAAAAAAGGCACTACGGTTTGTTTTTGTGGCACGATTCGTGAGCCGCCCTGTATATAAGAAAAAAAGATTATATTTTTTATAAAATAGTAAAGGTCGACACTTTTGCACAAACTTATGGTATTAGGCCGAATAAAACTCTTTCTAAACGAGAGTGTTTTTCTACTTTTGCTTCAGCTTACAAAATAAAAAAATATAATTTTTAACGTAACTACAAAGATTTTCAGTTATAACCCTTTACCCAGTTACTCAAAAGAACGATGATTCCAAAAATAACTTACGCGACAATTGATAATAAAAAGTGCAATCTCTATTAAAGTCTGGACATTGTGGTAAGGAAAAAAATCATGTCAACACCTACATATATGAGTTCTCGTGATTGTTAAATGATTTCTAATATAACATCATAACACACAACTATTGAAGTTTATTTCAATATATGTCATTCAAGATCTTAATCCTCGCTCATAACTTTCGAACGCGGAATTTCTTATTTCTCAAGCTATTACATTTTCCTTAATGGAAATTTATTCATGTCTATGGAACAGAGCAAAATATTAATTCAAATTCATAGTAATATAATTATTTTTGTATAACTACTTGCCGTTCGAAGCACACCGAAAAGATTCACGATTCAAAGATTTGAATGATAAACTGTCTATCGTTAAATAATATGTAAATAAATGCAAAATTTTATGCAGCATCATTCAATCGCTTAAGCCAAAAAGCAACAAGAAAGAATTAAAATAAATACGAAAAAATTTTACTCTGTGACTATCACGATCCGGTACCGATGCGTGTGCAGAACAACGAACGCATTTAAGTGGAACTTCGGTAAACAGTTGTGTGGTTGAGAAGATAAGCTAAAGTAATATAATTAATGTGGAAGTGAAACTCTTAAAAATTATTGCTATGATTTACACTCTATTAAATAATTGAATAATTATTGATATTAGTATTTTGTTTTATTCCTTCTTGTCGCTGGAGTGGTCTATATTCCTGTCACTTCGGACTCGGTTAATTAGAGTTGGCTGGGCAATTGATTATCAATATTTTTGAATTGGAAGTAAAACATACAAATGAAATATTGAATCACTAGATAGAAATTTAAGAATTTATTAAATTAAAGAGTTTTGAAGCCTACACTTGGAGCTAATTGAAATTCCTCGACTAAAATAGTGCTGTTCTATTCGGTGTTACTATCTATACTAACATTATAAAGTGGAAAGATTTGATCGTTTGTTTGTTTGAATTAAACAGGCTCCGAAACCACTTAATGGATTAAAAAATCATTTTATCGGAAAGCTACACTCTACGGTAAACATAGCGTGCGCTGCCGAATACTATTGATTATAGGACAAAATAATATACTACGACTTTGCAGAACATATAATCATCTACCAAAAATGTGACAGCATACAAGTGTGTCTAACGATTATAGTAGTTTTAGTTAAGTCACAATAATTGTTCCTTAAAAAAAAAAATTAAAATATCGCCTCAGTAAAATCTCTTTATTTGTAGCTTAGTATTAATGCTTATCAAAATTAGTTACTTCATATTCAAGACTGATTCAATAGTTTTATATAAATTTATTAGGACAATTCATTCGAAAGATATCACGAGTTAAGGAATGTAAATATTAGAAAAATATCGTGTGGCTGCGAGCCGCTCGGCTAAGCTGCAACATAATATGCGATGTTGGCGTCATTGTTCCACGGAAGGGGAGCCAATGTCATGAAATAAAGTGCAGTGCTGCTCACTCGCCCAGTTTGCTCCCTACGAAGCAGTCTTGAATATAAATAATAATTAATAATAAATAAAAGTTCGATGTTCACATCTCATCACCTATATGAGGTCTTCTTCCCCCACATGGGATTGCAAATGGAGTAATCTGCTGATCTTAAATATTACCAACACACAAGCATATTATTACACTGACATTTTAAAACAATATGTTATAAAACCTAAATTTCAAGGGACTACGTAAAGGGCTATCATGTAAAAAGTGATGAAAAGTAATTCTCGAAGCATTAAGTTAGGCGAACATCCGGATTAGAGAGCTACGAAGAAATGCCGGAAGTCGTGTCTAATATGTGTTTTAAGTAATATTTCTTGTGCTGCTTATAGATAAGAATTTTCGTCTTAGGATTTAGTACATTAGTAATTGGCACTGAAAGGTGCAAGTAGTATCTCAGTTGTAGAACAAATAAATATATTTTCGATAGCTATAAAATATATACACATATATTTATTGTATATACTAATTGTATATATGTACCATACATATGTAGGTATTACTTGACTCTAAAACTATTAATAGAAAAGCAATCAAATTAAACATCCAACAATGTAATAAAGAATTACTTAATATTAAATTATTCAAATAAAAAAAGTTTTCTCGCTGCGATATTGAGAATTAGCACACCATTATTTTAGAGACGTTCCTGGTAACGTGTTGGAAAAACACGCTTCATGTGCAAGATCACGCTGAAAAAAGTACATTTTTATACACGATATACAATGTACTTGAATAATTTGACTCTCATACATCGATTTATCTTTTTTACTTACAGCAGAAAACAAATGGCAATTATAAACAGATTGGCATTTAATAAATTGTAAAATCCCGGGAAACTCGTGAGCGTTATGCTATAAATGCCTGCATATATCGGTGAGGCAATGAATGGTATAAAAGCCTGTAGAACACCGTGGAAGGAGAAGAACTTTCCTAAAAGAGAGAATAAAAACGAGAGTGCGAAATTAATGTTATGTGTACTAACCCAGTTAAAATTGAAATAGAATGAAATGAATGCGTCGGAGACCAAAACTTACTACTAAGGTAAGGTAATTAGGCCAATAAATAGCTTAAAGTAATAATAAAAAAGTTTGATACTGTATTTTTCCCAGAAATATTATAGATAGATAAATTGGACTGGGCATTTGCGAAGCTTTATAAAAAGCCGTTCAGCATCTTTTATCCTTCGAAGCATGTCAGAAATTTGAACTGAGGCACTGCGATAGAATTCGGTAGATTGCATGAACATTAACTGATAGATTTAGATCACATAATCTAGTATGCTTCAGACAAATACTGCCCCCCCTAGAAAAATAAAATAATCCACCTACGAAGTATAATTGTGGCTAGGTTCACTAGGTCCACTTCACAGCAGTGTTTGTGGCTGTTTAAGCGTCTTCTGCGTCATTCCGTGACCATCAGCTGAACATGAATCCATTAGTACATAAGACAAACCCTGGAACAGTCGAAACAGTAGACTTCACCTAGCCAACGTGTTCCAAAGGGGGCAACGACTGTCGGAAAGGTGATGTCATTGGCCGGAAAGGTGATGACCAATATATTTAGGTATTCACTAGATGGGATCTGCATCTACAGGAGAAGCTTAAATTTTAGTGAAATGAGGAGTTATTTCGTAGAGTTAAAAAAGTAGGTTCTGACGTACTGTCATACATATATATTAAAGGAATATGATAGGGGAATGCATAGCTTTGTTGTGGTTCAGAAACAAACGCTAAAACAGGATAAGAAAAGTTAAGATTGTTTTAAAATCGCAGATTCTCACATTTTGAGGACTGGATTTAAAAGCGAATACAAACATAAAGGAAAATTGTTAGTTGTGCAGAATAAACGGTTTTCAATGAGACAACGCAATTGTTCGACATAGCGTATGAGTAATTTTTTCATAATGAACATTTTTAGAAGCTTAATAGGAATATAATAGGAAACAGTCGAAAGCATAATTAATTATAGCACTACTTGACATCATAGTCTGATCGAAATAAAAAAAAATCATTCGAAAAATTAACGCCGCCTTTACCTAATTCATTTGGCGGTAACACATTTGACGCAATAGTGCGACACATCGGATGTGCCATTGCTCTCAGAGCGCTGAGACCGACCGCTAAATACATGAACCAATTAGTAACCGCAAAAGCCTTTGTGAAACTGCCAGCCGCATCACTCAGAAACGCCAGAACGCCAATGTGAACAACAGACAGCTTGAGTAACTGCAATAAAAATATATTTACAGCAAATAATCAAAAATAAAATTATTGAATTTTATACACACTCTTTTTAATATAAGAACACCCATTATATTGCCAATGGTGGTCACGAGCATGTTTATTGTCTCGAACGTAGTAAACTCCTTAATGGACCAATTGAATATCTCGCGTATGAACAAGTAAAACACAGTCATGCTGCCATCTAAATTTACATTAAATATTACAAAATTTTCGAAGAAAAATTATAAAAGTGGCTATATTTTACCTAAAACAAACACCGATATTAAATATGCGATCATTGACAGCCAGATGATAGCGCGATCGTTATATTCTCGCGGTTTAAAACAGGTCTGCCACATTTCCTTAACCGCTGCTAAATCGAATAGTTTTCGATCACCCGTTTCGCCCACAGAAGTGTTTAATTGCCGATACAGTTCCTCCTCCTCGCTAACAGTATTGTAGATGAATTGAAAGCGTCGCCTATTTAAGCTTTCCGGTACGAAGAAGAGTATAATACAGATGGCAACAAAAATACAACAACATGATGTTAGAAAAACGAAAGTCGCATTAGTGGCTTCGTAAAGATAACCTGATATGAAGGAACCAGCCATGAGTCCCATGATTAATGCCACCTCATACGAGGCCATGCTAAAATTTCACACATAACTATTCAACTGTATACAGATGATATGATTTTAAAAGCGCCACTCACCGATATGGACGCTCTTGCGCACTGGACACATCTGAAATGTAACAAAAAGTGGCCACCGAGTATGTAACGCTGCCACCGATCAACGAAAGTGGCAACACCGCCAGTAGATAATACCACGGGCTGACTAGGCTGGTTGTGGATAACTGCGCAATTATTGCAGCTATTGCGTAATAGAGAGCATATCCTGCAAATAGCTTAAACATTTGAACATCACTTCAAAATAAATATATACACATTTATAAATGTTTAAGAAGCTGTAGTTACTCACCACTATAGGCTGTAATCAGCAATGGCTTGCGTCCAAAACGATCCGACCAAGCGCCGATAAATACCCCACAAAATGCTGGCACAAAGCTCTCAATGAGTGAGGATGTCATAAAAATGCGCGCAGCATACGGCTGAATAGTAGTCTCTATTTGCTATAAAAAGAGAGTAGTACTTAAATATTTTTCTTGCACTAATTTATACTAGAATAAGTAACCCAGTGTGTGGTGTTCTCATCGGAATAGATTCCTTAAAATTAATTTTGCTGCTTTTACACTTATGTCCAAATGTTAAAAAGAACACAATCAAATAATGATCAAGTGAAAAATAATGCATTCTTTGTTATTTCAATGTGGTAGAGCGAAAAGTTTGTCTGAAATATCGTTGGAGAAAGCAACTTAAGAGGTAAAAGAAAGTTAATCACGATAAAGCAGTAGCCATTAACTACGCAGCCCCAGTAAAGTTGCCTGGATGGAGCAGGACGCAGCTAAAGAAAATACAGACAAGTCAGAACACCACACTCCGGACTATTACAGGATGTTCCCCATCAACCACTTTGAAAGTGTAAACCGCATACTTACGATAAAGAAACATAATGCACCCCTCTCCAAGCAGTTTCTGATAGGATGCTTTTGCAGATATTATAATTACAGTCATATGCTTAAAGCGGAACCGCCTCCTAGGAACATCAAACAAAGAACATTCACTTGACAATAACCACCTCTTTGTATGTCCCGCCAAAACCACTCACTTAACACCCTTTTCCCTGATCCCATTGAAACAGCCCATTTCCTGAACCTACGTGCAAACGTTTACATATGTGCATACACAAATATAAAACTTTCCATTATTTAAAGTTTTATTCAATACCATAAAATTTCAGGTAAGTTTGGTCAATAAACATAACTCATCAAACATTACTAGTATCAAATATTTTTCGGATTTAATCCATGCTATAGGTGATTATATATATGAGTATATAAGTTTCCATTGAAAACTTTATAACCAGAGCTCTTCCTAACTTTTGTGTAGTAGTTAGTTTCAAAATGCGAGATTTCACTGCACAAGATTCAAAATTATAAAAAAAAAAAGTTTTTATTAATAACTATCTTTGTTTGTGGCAATGTTACGAGTATGAAATTAAAAAATCGATTACATATTTCGATAGGTTATACCGTTAAAAATAATATGCTAAAATTTTAAATAGATATCTTAAACAGTTATTGAGTTGCAGACCTCTAAAAGGTAACCGCTCAGTTTAATCAGCTTAAGCTTATTTTACGAGCCAACTGATGCTAGGCAACTAAATGTTATTAGAGAACTTTCTAACTGTTTAAAGAGGATACAGTATCTCATAATTGAGTGTGGTTATAATTTATTTTAAAATTTTAATTGTTAATTCAACTCTCCTAAACTAATTGCTTAGCTTGCATTTCTGTAGAAGAGCTATACAATTGTCTCATTTTTCTCTTCATTTCCTATGAAAAAAGAAGAGATTATGAAGAAGAGATTATTATATCTCTTATAACAACAAGCGCGCATATATTGAAGATTTCGCATGTGAGCCGCAAAGTAATTTCCACAATCAAAGTAAAACATATTACTTTATTTATTAAATAAAATATGTGTTTATACATAAGTATGTATTTAATGTGCGTTTCTTTGCAAATTTTCAGAATTTGCACGATCGTAAGATAAATTGCTTGCACAAATGTTCTAATGGTTTATGCCGACTTATACATACATATATGTACCTGTAATATTTATGTTTACTTTTTAAAGAAATATCGAATTTCCTTGTATGTATGTATTTTCCATATGTACATATGTATGTATATGTTTCTGTATCTACATATGTATGTGTGTAAATATGTTTGCAATTGTAATATTCCATATGAACCTCTACTTTTGACGAAACGAACACATAAAATAAGCACAAGCTTATGAATATTTTATTTGATATTTATAAATATGTATTAGGGTGAGCCGAAAAAAAAATTGTTTTTATATATTATATAATTTATTTATTTTATAAGGTGATAAGTAAATACAAATCAAACTATGAAGGTCTCACTCATTAAACAAAGTTAGAGAGGCTTGATGTAACGTTTAGTTATATTCACTGTAGATTTATGATATTATATAAAAAACGTAATAAATGTCATCTATTGTATAACATATATATACAATTTCTAATATTTTTAATACTTCCAACTATGTTTTCCAATATTTTATAGTCTTTTTACAGTTTTTTTTTTTCATTCATAAAAAATTAAATATATTTTGTGATTTTGAGGCGTTATCCTGTGAAATAACGTAAAAATTTTAAGAATTATCCTCAGCGATTTGGGCCTTTGCCTTCGAACAACTTTTAAGTGAGTTAACTAAACAAACAATTATTTCAGATCTTTTTTGTAGAATAAGTTTTAATAAGTTAATATTATGAGCTCTTTTTGGCCCACCCTATATGCAGACACATTCCATTATCATTATTTAAAGAAAATTCTTTACTGTCGAAAGTCTTCAATTTTTAAGTTCAACAACTTCATTCTTCGAATTAGTTATTTATTTTATTAGACAAATTGTCATTAATCAGATGGCATGTGTGTAACATTTTTTATTTGATAACCCTTATCAAATTCTTATCTAGACAATTAAAAAACCAAAACGCTAACAATTAGTTACTAATAAGAAGCAAATCATCCAATTTTTATACACAAAACAGTAATTTGAGATGTAAAGAAACTTGAATAATTAAACAATTTTACATAATGCAGAGTTAACCAATTCAATTATTTTCATAAAATTAGTAGATGAAGTTGCCACGTTTTTTTGAAAATTATAAGTGTAATTATTCATAAGGTAAACATTTGCACATATCTTTTGAAAAGCGTTGCCACCTGTTTAAATATTTTAATTCAAAATTTTTAATTTCATAAAAAATTAACAGATTTAAGAAGACTTAGAGTCGAAGTTTAAAAGGGTTGCCACCTTTTTTACATAAGCATATATTATTAATATTACAAAATTTTGTATTAAACATAATATATGTACCTATTAAACGGAAACACTACAGCTGTGGAGGATTTTATTTTTTTAGCGCCGTCGGAGATCACATGTAATACTCGAAAATATTGAATTTTTATCTTACAAAATTTTACTTTGTGTCTTTAAAATCTTACCACAATTGATACAGTGGTTTTTTTCTTTTAATTCACAAATATCGCCTTTTTTAGACTATCACACTAGGTGTCTCCTAAGCTGTTTTAACAGCAAACAAATTTAAATTTTCTTTTTAATTATTTTGTTTTCCTATTTTGTATAGAAATTTTTAAAAGTAATAATACTTTTAGTATATAAAAGATACAGTTTCGACTTCTGTCGTTTTTATGAGTTCAATTGCATAACAGTTTGATTTATTTATACTTCCCCAAGTTATTTTAATTCATCAGTCATTTAATTTACATGCATATATGTATGTAAGTATATAAATATTAATTGATATTGTAATATCAGAAAAAGCTAGTTTATAAAACCGTAATCTCTCTTAGCTTTATATTATGCAGACGAATATATATAATATTTGTATTACTTAGGTATTCACATTCATACATACATACATACTGTGCTTGTAAAGAGGCAGCAAATTTTAATAAGTTCATACCCGACCTACTTATAGTACCAGATATATATGTTTATACATATGTACGAATTTATGTACATTTGCGATTAAATCTGTAATTAGAGCCATTCAAGTCGAGTTAGAAAACAACCAAGGTATTGTTTGGTTGCTTTACTGTAAATATTTTCATATACAGGTAAATAAATGGCACACATACCTATGTATCTCTACTAGAGGCTTGACAGATCTGCTTCTTCCATTTACGCTCTACTCTTTGATGTTATCCGACAAATAGAGAGAACAACAAGCCTTAGACACCGTCGCACAGCTGCTGGATTCTGAAATATACTCGCAGGTGTCTATCAATGCCTGTCGAGAGGCGTTTGCCTGTGTGTCGAAAGCTAGGATCGTACCCAGATTTTGAGTTGCGGTAGTCCACACCTCTAACAATTTCACCATGCCATATTATTTTAGCAAATAAATGTTTAAGAAACAGTAAACTATTTATTTTATTCCAAATTGTATCTTACATGGTGTTCTTTTCAAAATTTCTTAAAATCAACTTTAGCTGTTGTTTGTTTTATGCATTTTTATTAAATAATGCAGTACTGATTAGAGAGAGGAGAGATTCTGGACCTTCCACTTTCATCGTTTGGAAGTGTTATATACTTATGTATATTATTTATTTTATTATTGCTGTGTTTTAAAAATGAATTTTATTCTAGAAATGTACGGTATAAGTGAAGATCCCATAAGAGGGATTCTAAAAAAATTGTGCTGACGAAAATATGTATGTTACACAAACGGAATTTTCAATTGTATTGGGCAGATGTTAGGGGCTTTGTGACCTTTTACAATATTATTTATTTTACAGTAAGACTTTTGAATTTAGTTTAGACGTAGAATCTCTAGCAACTTTGATAATTGCCTAATTAAAGGGATTCTAAAATTATGTCGTTTGAGGTTATCACTTGCACTAGTGAAGGTCATCTAACACCAAGATTAGCTGAGTTCACCTTTCTGCGACGTTCTATTGATATACTTAAAATTATTAGAGATCAGGTGATCACTTAGATTTAGACAGACTTTTTTGAGGAAATGTTCCACACGGGTTCGTGCTACCCTAAGGCAATGCAGACATTACATACTTACATACATAAGTGGTTCTTTGAAGTGAAATAAACGTACCTAATTTCCAATTTGTTTGATTTGATTTCAATATCAAACGGTACTTTTAGAAAACCCCCTTATTATTTATATATTGTACATATGTACTTGTGTATACATAATTATTTACTTCCGCAATTGAATTCCACACTTTGTTGGCCTTACAACAATCAAAACAGCAATAACAAAGGTTCTCGTGTATACCGTCTTACCTTAACATGTTCACTGGCGTTTTTAGTACCTAATTGTCCACAATCAGTGTCATTGAAATAGAATATAGACGTGCATGTTTGATAAATTATCTGGTTCTTTACGATGGTTTCTAAAAAATCAAAGCGTTTATATTTTATGTAACTACGGAGCACTTGAGAGTGACGGAAGTTATGACAATACCTGATAAATTGTATGCAAATAAGAGAATGAACACCATCGGTTCGACCAAGTAGAACCGTAAGCGTCTCCAATTAAACTCATCCAGTTCGCTGGATGTGATCGACGTCACAGATTCGACGGATCCACGCAGATTTGCATGCACAGATAATGATGATGTAGACACATCCGATATCATATCACTCGGAAGCTCCGCACTACCGATACTGCTATCTCTCGTGTACGAGTATTTTCGCGAACGATGATTTTTCGCTAGCAGCGTACTAAATTCATTTGGCCCCGTATCCATTTCGCGTTAGAAATTCAATAGAACGCCCAAAACTAAGCAATGATCCGTTGATTATGAGCGATGCAACGGTTGGCTAACTGTTATTTATATTTGTACTGATATGCATTTGTGTGAGTGTGTGGTGAAAAACCGTTTGTTTACTCCGGCTTTGTCGTAGTCCATGCAAAGACTGCTCACGACCATCACTCAAATGAAACTGCATTCGAACAAGTTTGATATGAAATTCGCGTACTTCAAAAGCGAAGTATGAAGACGTTGGCATTGGTTGGCGTAGCGGCACGTCTAAGATTGTTTTGAATCTACGAGCACGAACGTATGTACATATATATATATAACTATAAACATACTTGCACAAATCGCCGGCCGGCTAATATTAAATACCGCTCACGCTTTAGAAGTTGCTTTTCAGATACCACAACAAATGAAATTACTAGAAAGGGAAAACATCAACGAGCAATGTAAAAATTCTATTGAGAGCGATCCCCCAGCATCTTGCATTGAATACTTGACTATGATATTATAGATTTTAAGACTCTTCTATCACGTAAAATTTTGTTTTAAATATTTATCAGCTTTTTGAAACTTATACGAGTAAAACCGGAAGCTCAAGAGTACAACACAGCAAGAAAAAAATATCAACTAAAATATCGCAAAAATGCAAAATTATTTCAAAGTAGGAGATCAGAGCCAATATGGGTAAGAAGTATGATTATTGTTTCATATACTTAAGTTAAATATTTACTAAAGTTTTAGAGAATGTTGTAGGGATGACAGTCTAGTATTTGCCCGAATATATGTAGATCTGCGACCGATGCCGTTACATTGACCATGCTGTGATACAAACAGTCCACAACCGAGGTAGCTCATAAGAAAACCAAAAAATTTTTAGTATTCATGAGATTTCGATAAGCTCGAATAATCGATGCGATCAATTCGACCTTGATCATAACAGAAACATTACCTAAAAACCAACAACAGCAATATATTGCCTCAAGGGTATAATTTATAACTACTCAAATGCGAGCTCGATTCTTATTTGATTATTTTGTAAGAAAAAAGTATTTATCGCATTTTATAAGTATGTACATATGTATGTATATAAATAAAACTCGTACCGGGGATTTTGTTGAGTGACTCAGAGACTACCAGTCGCCAAAGCAGAAATGTGCTCCAGGAAAAATTAATATTTTGTAAATAAATAAATGTTGGTATGTGTTTACCAACAGATGTATTTTCATTTCTCTGTGTACTATAACCTGGTGTAGAAATATTTATTTAATTATATTTGGACAAAGGATTATTAAAATCATAATTGCAAGCTTTTTGTCTACTCAAATCGACACACACATATGTATGTACAACTGTAATGTGCTCCCATTCATCAATCAATCAAAATCTAATAAATATGGTAATTTGATAGACACTATGAGGGGTGTGTAGCACCAGTTGCATCAACATGAGTCGTTCATTCTCAGATCCATTATGTCAGTCAATAATAAGCTCGTATTACTCATCGCAGTTGTTTGAATATTTTATAGTTTACTTAAACGTTTAGATAAGAAAATGCTCTATGAATGATGGATGCCACATACTACCGCTCCAAAGAATATTTACACATTATACATATAAGACCTTTGACCATATCATAACTACCGAAGAAATAATTATGCTTTTCGAAATTCCAATTCCTCAAAAATTGTCAATTCAAGATTTAATGAATGAATCTCAAATAGAAAATTTTCTAGAAATGGACGCAATGACACACATCTCGATATTGAAAGGTTAAATATCTACATATATAACTCGCCGATTTAATTAGGTTTAGAATGCCGAAAGCGCAGAAAATTCCAGTAACTGCAGTGAGAAGTAACAAACTTCTAAACTTAATAAAACCAAACTCGGGAGGTTTAAAAGGTTGATGTAATCTCCCCACATCTGTTTATTTCTCCTATTTCGAAATTCTCTTAATCAGAAGAGAAATATATATCCTTCATCTCATCCTACTTCCGAACATCAGTACGACACTTTTTACGAGCTTTTCGTGGGGATTTCGACTCGATCGAAACAAAAAAATTGATGACTCCAAAATTCTGTCGATCGAAAACTCAAAACTACTTATCTATTTCAGTCCACATAAAACCTCCATTATGATCAAATTACAAAATCGCAATAATTATCTAATCACACTACCTGAACATTTGGGGTAGAGACAAAAAGCTGTTGTTTAAAACATTAAATGAAATCGGCCGAATGGTCATTAATTATACAATAACTGTAAGGTATTCACGAACCAATAAGACGAAGATGACGAAGCACCAGACCTGTCAGAAAGAAACACTTTCGACTATAATAGTGTAATCCTTGATGTTTCCTGAAAATCATATTCATAACGAGACCTACATACATACATATATGCTGACTGCTTAGACGTATAGCAAAAATCCAAATATAACGCAGAGTTCCAATTGCCTCACAAATCAAACATCACCCTCGAATATCGTTCTATATGTATATGACTACTGTACTAGTATATCAGGTGTACCAATATAAAATGAGAAATGTTCGTCTTTTGAAGCAAACCAATCAGACACCCAATTTTCGAGTTCTGCATAGGAAACGAAGTGCAGCTCAGCCAATGTGTTTCGCATCGATGAAAACAAATGGTAATCAGAAGGGGCCAAGTCTGGTGAATGCGGCGGGTGGGGAAGCAGCTCCCAGCCAAGTCGATGTTGAGTGTCTTTGAAGCAAAATTTCACAAGTGATTTTTCGGCTTTTCATTTGTCTTTCATTCAATTTATGTGGCACCCATTTTCCACACTTTTGGATCTTTCCCATAGCTTTCAAACGGTCTGAAATTGTTTGTTGTGCAACATTTAAGATGGCTGACATAGATGCTTTTGACTCAAAGTATCATCTTCCTCCAATATTGTTTGCAGTGCCGGCGTCTTTAAACTTCAAACTTTTTTGGTGGTCTTCCAGGTTCTTCATTTCTCACATCGAAATCATTATCTCTAAACCGTTGAAACCATCTTTTGCATGTTGCTTCTAATAGAGCATGATTATCATATGCCTCGACAAGCATCCTATGCGACTCTACAGCACTTTTTTTCAAATAGAAACAAAAAATTAATGCTCTCCGCAATTCATCACATACACATATCAATTTGACATTTTCAACGCAATAAAAAAATATGATGGTGTTTGTTGAATAACTGTAAGGTTATTGAATACGTTTGACAGATGTCATGCCAACCAAACGGACAAAAAATTAAGGCTCGTTCACGACAAATCTTCATACCGGTACACCTGGTAAACTTCTACTTAACCAGATTTGACCCTGACATATAAAGTGTGTATCCTGAATTCACGTCATTCCCCTATGTTACCAATAAGCTCGAAGCAAGCACATCTCTTAAATCCACTCTTTCCCTCCCCTCCCCTATAGTCGAAAATCGTCGAAATATCTCCTTTTCTGGTTATTACATTCAATGGCATCGAAGACAGCCTCTAATTTTTTACAACTCCCTATATTTTGTGTTGTTTCCGGCAACAATAATCTGTTGTATCTATTATAGTATCCACCCAAACTCGTATAATTTACTTACATTAAAAATAAATCGTTATTTCATTTGTCATTGCCAAATTTAATTATTTCGCAATTTGCAATAAAACCAATTGTACATTTGTTAAAACATTACTCAACGATAAATTAAATATACTATGCTTAATTCTATAGATTGAGTAATTTAGATAGTACAAGTATAGCTATTAAATCCAATTTATTCGGTACGATATTTTCAGATTTTTACACTCTATTGGCACAAAGTGTAATAGTTTTGTTTACCTAAGGGTTTTTTTGCAGTAATCGAATTAGACCTAGAGTTATAATAACCCGACGAAAAAAATTTACCTGATGCCTAAGCAGATCCCAAGATATGGGTTTTCACCTAAAAGTTATTGGTGCCATGCCCACTATATAATTTTAAAGGTGGTTCCTATAAATCATCATCGCTGACGACGTAAAGCTTTTTAAATCATACACTTCAACTGAGGAAAGGTGTCTGTTGCAAACAGACTTAAACAATTTAGTTGCATGGTGTGATAGAAATGATTTGCCATTGAATCTCAATAAATGTAAGACGATGTGCTTTTCCCGTAGATCTGTGCACCCCTCTTCTTACGTAATAAAACACCATATTCTAGAGCAAGTTTTTAACTATGTTGATTTGGGAGTCAATATGGACCCTAAGCATAATTTCAGTCTTCATATTGATACCATGGTCTTGAAAGCAAAAGCTGTCCTCAGTTTTGTTAAACGTTGGTCTAAAGAATTTAGAGATCCGTATATTACTAAAACACTTTATACAACTTTGGTTAGACCTATATTGGAATATGGCTCTGTGGTATGGAACCCTAGCTACCAAATCCATTCTGACAAGTTGGAGTCGGTTCGAAAACAATTTTTACTTTTCGCCTTAGCGCATTTCCGATGGGATGCTAGGGTAAGTCTACCTCCATACACTAGTCGTTTAAAACTTATTAATCTACCTACACTTTCTAGTCGTAGGGAAATGCTTGGCATAATATTCTTAGTGATACTTTTGAATGGAACTGTTTGCAGTTCTTTTCTCCTGTCTGAAATTAAATTTAATATCCCGGTTCGCCTTTCGAGGCAGTTTAGACCTTTACTGCTAAAATCCTGTAGATCAAATTTTGAACTATACGAGCCATTCCGCCGTATACCTATGTCATTATTTTAATTCTCATTCCAGCATATTTGACTTATCTGACTCAGTTTTCAAAATTAAAAAGACTTTATTGTTTTCTCTTAATAAATGAAAATGTAACAATTTATTATATTGTAACTTTAGATCTTAGCTGTTGAAATTTTTGTTTCTGTAGCTGAGCAGTTTTAGATCTCAACACTTAAAAAACTCTCTTGCCTTTTCTGACTCCTCTCTAATTCCGCACGTATGCGGATTGCGCCCTTCGCGTCGGTTGGGCGGGAGGAGGGTAATCGTTGGGTTTATTATTATTATTATTTTCCCAGAGATAAAAATTAATGTCTCTGGCTTGTTTAATGCTTGATTTATCGCGCTTTTAGTAGTTTTTAACAGTACCGTTATATGGGGAGTGGGCGGGGTTGTCATCAGTACGGCTTAAAACGTTATATTGGATACAAGGAATTATGGAAACCACATTATGTCTATGACTGATATAAATGCAATATTTCACAAGTTAAACGCTTTATTGGTACAAAGTTAAACGGAAGGTCGAAATCACTATACAAGTATAGGGTATATTGGGACTGAAGGAACATATGGATACTGCGTAATCGGTCATGAACCAATTTAACTCGTATTCAGCACTAAAATATATATCGAAAATAATTCTAGCACTTAATTTTATTAAGATATCAGGTATAAAGTCAACCAGAATATCGAAAATCACTTCATTGGGTACAGGGGGGTGAAAGGAAGTATTGAATCGATTTTTCCCATTTTTAACAACCAGTCACTTATTTTTATTAGGATATCTTATAAATTTAGCAATATTTTTGAGATAAAGTCAGTCAAAGGCACTGAGGTCCTCATATTCGGTATCTGGGGGCTTTAAAAAGGATACTCCAACCAAGACAGGAGACAGCTAGGAGCCACCGCAATTCAAGGCATTAATTTAGTTTTTTAAATCAAGGACTAATATTGAAATACCGAAAAATTCATAAAGAAATCATGAAAAACGTACGTTCGTAAAAATCGAAAAAGTTATATCCTTAATTCGAAAACCTGTAAATAATATACATATGTATAAGTTATTTTTTTTATTATCGGTTACTGTTACTTTATTCGGTAGCGTCGGTGTTGTCGACTACTCACGAACTATTTAAATAATATTCCGATAGCGAATTAAATTTGAAATTTTTCTACGCGTCCTTTCCTCTCCAAGAAAATGCTCATTTAACGGAACCGCTGATATTGGACCACTATACTTTCCTATTTGAGGTGATATCCTCAGGTAGTTTGGCATGTGTTATTGACCAAGGCAACGCTACAATATCCAAACGAATTGTTAAGGTCGGACCACGATGCCATACAAATTGTACTATCAAAATCAAGATAAAGATCTTTTTTATATCTTTTTTGCTATAAGAAATACCAATTAATGGCGATTATTTTTATAGGTTCGGTGCGGCCAAAGTTAACGTTTTTTTATATTTTCTGAACTGCTTTTACTTCACTGCTTTTCAACCCAGTGCTAGTATATAAGCCACCCCTTAAATAATTAAGCAAAGTAAAAAAATTTTTTTGTTTTCGTTTTCTTTTTTTTTTTATTCACGTCATAATATATGCTTTGCATTTTTGTATATGTACCGTAGTTTTTTTGCGCAACCGCAGAATGATAACAACGGTTAAAATACTAAGTAATATTAATAGTTTCCATTTTGTATGTTGTAATTAGTTTTACGGTATTTTTGTATGCATGTATAAGTTTGGAGGCAGGTGCATGCAATCTCTTTACTATTTTAGTTGTTTTTCAATTAAAATTTCAACTAACAACTCACTAAGAATGCACCGAGACTTGATTCTGGGTTATTCTTTCACTTGTTTTAGGTTTATTTCGAAAGTTTTAATTTTGTAATTAAATTTATTTGAGTTTAGATAGATAATTATGTAAATGTGCTCGTGTTTACCAATAAAACTGTTAGATTTATATGTATGTTTAATATACAGATATTTTTGGGTAAAATAAGCACACAACATAGATATTACGCCATTTAATAACAATGTACCGTTGTAAGGTTTTGTGTTGTTGTGTAGTTGATTTCTGCATATTTGGTCGCAGCGGTGGGTGGGTTTGCACCTCAAAGCCCTTTCGTAGAGTCTACACAGAAAGTACATATATGACAATTACAACAACAAAAAGTTATTGAATTCAATTGGTTTGTATTGTAAGTATACATATGTATGTGCAGAAGAATACATACATATTTATTGAAGATTTTTATTTTTATTTTTTTCAAACGCTAGCGTTATTTAATGAAACAGTTATAGCTCGATGTTTAAATTGTTGTATATTTTGCTCTTAGTATTGCACTACAACATTTTTTATACTTTTCAAGTAATGGAACTACAAATTAATATCATGTTTGCTTCCGTTTAAAACGCTACGACAAACTTAAACGTGACAGCAAAAAAAAAATTATAATAATACTATAATAAGAGGCAGCTACCCAAGCAAGGGGCGTGACAAAACGAAAGTTAAAAATTAAATATAAATTAAGGCAAACATATAAAATGAAATTTAAAAAATTAAAAACAAAAAAAATCATGGGAATATTAATGCCAAAAAGCGATATTTTTTTGATGAACATAAAATATACAATTTCGGTTGCTCCTACTGTTACTCAACATTAAACAAAGTTTGTGTAGAATTGTGCTAGAACCTGAGTTTTTGTTAACAACTTTCAAGTGTAATTTTTTTCTTCATATTATGAGACATATTTGAGTGTATTTGTGTGTGTGTATGTATATAGTTTTTAAATGTATTTAACATAATAGTTATTTAAATAAAATAATGACGAACTTTGCTAAACTAACAAAGCACCATGTGATGAGATAAATATATTTATATGTATGTATGTTTACTATTTACTTTTGTATTTATTTGTTCATGATTATGTTTGGTTTTGCTTTTTTCTTTCAAACTTTGACGTATTCGGTAGCTTATACTTTATTGCAACTGGCGATGTTTTAATACGAGTAACATATACTTTAGTATGTGTGTGTTGGTCACTTGCTACACGACTATTTTGTACTGTAGCCAATACTTAAGCAACGGCATCGGTAGCACACTCCTCTTCGACAGTTATGTACATACCCTCTTCTTCGTAGGCAGAGTCATGTTTAGCTAGAATTCTCAAGAGTGGACGCAATTTCAGCCACCACTGTGTCTTCGGGATGCGTTGTCTGTAAAGAAAAAAGTCAAATATTATATAATAACAGCATAGTTGAGAGTAAAGAAGAAAAACATTAAACTTTGGTTGCACTGAAGCTATAATGCCCTTCGCAAATACAAAATCTTTCATACAAGAACTTGATTTTGACGGCGAAGTTTGTATGGCTACTATATCCTTTAGAGGTTCGATCTGAACAATTCTTTCGGAGATTGTAACGTTGCCTTGAACAATAACCTATGCCTTTTTGTAAAGATAGCTTATCAAATAAAAAAGTTTTGTATAGTTGCTATATGCTATAGTTGTCCAATCTAAACAATTTATTTGGAGATTGTAGCGGAGCCTTGAACAACAATTCATGCTGAATTTCGTGAAGGTATCTCGTAAAAAAAAAAACGTTTTCTATACAAGAACTTGATTTTGATCGTTCAGTTGGTATGGTAGCTATATATCGGCGGGACTGACAAATGAGCAGCTTGGTGAGAAAAGGACGTGTGTAAAGTTTCAGAACGCTATCTCAAAAACTGAGCGACTAGTTTGCGTGTATACAGTCAGACATAATGACAGACGGACAGACAGATGAATATAGCCAAATCGACTCAGCTCGTCACGCTGATCCTATATAGGCTTTTCGATGTTTCCTTCTGGGTATTAAAAACTTCGTAGCAAACTTAATATACCCTATACAGGGTATAATTATATAATAACAGCAAATACGAAATTATAAAAGTCACACAGTAAACTTTACGCACTCGAAGTTGGTTTCGGCAATTAAATCGGCCAACGGTGTGAAACGGTACTGGCGACGTACAATGCCAAGCAAACAGGCTGAATCGGTGCTCTCACAACGTACAGTGCCATCTGGTTTAGTATTTTGCTTGATTTGATCATTCAACCATTCGACGCATTTGGCCGCCATTTTGGTGCCCATATTACGATCGAATGGTGTTGGTGAACCACCCTGTTGCATGTGACCTATGATTTGAAACGAAGTTGTATAACACCTTCATAACATTGTACAATATTTCCGCACTTACCTAAAATATTCATGCGGCATGAGAACAGCCCTTTTCCTTCCTCCGAGTAAAGACGATGTATGAAATCGGTGTTATAGTTTTCAGATGCCTTTTCATTGCGCAAAATCAAACCACGCTGCACACCCTCAGCCATTTTGGATGCCATGTGATAGACGTCCTGTTGCAGATCTTTAATGGAGAATTTCTCCTCATAAATGTAGGCTGCATCAGCGCCGCCAGCTAAACCCGCCAAAGTGGCGAGATAACCGCAATAGCCGCCCATTGTCTCAATGACGAAAACACGACGTTTTGTGCCCTGCGCCGACTGACGTATGCGATCGCAGATTTCAGTGATCTCATTAAGACCCGTGTCGCAGCCGAGCGAGAATTCGGTGCCAGGAACATTATTCGAAATAGTCGATGGCACAACAACCAGTGGGATACAGAATTCGGGATAGTTGGGTCGTTGATCGGAAATCTGACCGCAAGCATGGTAGGCCTCAAAACCGCCAATCACCAGTAAACCTTGGATTTTGAACTCCTTAAGACGTGCAGCAATCTCCTTGAACTTGCCTTCGGGCAGCGTGCGCTTAGTACCGAGGAAAGCACCACCTTGACCCACCCAACCGGTTACATCAGACCTAAAGCACAGCAAAAAATACAATAGAAATCATTGAGCGATGCATTGCGCTAACTGTTACTCACCAGCCCATTTCCTTGATATTGCCAGCAATGAGACCCTCAATGCCGTCATGTACCCCGAAAACGGTGTCGCCGCGATAAATGCAGTTACGCACAAAACTGCGTACAGCAGCATTCATGCCGCAGGCGGGTGCGCCAATGTGCATAACCGCCAAACGGTAACCCTGCCATATTCGCAACAACAATAATAAAAGTTGACATTTAAAATGGCATGCGGTCACAACTCACCCGCCCGCCTTCGCCCAACTCTTTTGGTGGCTTCAAGCGCGTCAACATCTTGTAGGTCTCCAAATTGCGTTCGAACGAGCGTCCGCGCAATTTCACTGCCAACTCCCAGTTCTTCTCCGCCATTGCTTGTGCAACTTCCTTTGTGCGTTCCACGCACTCCATCAGCGGCACGCGTACCGCCTGATTGCCATCCAACGAGACAACACATGGCACCGAGTCGGAAGTGGCCTCCATAAGTGCCAGCGTAGCTTCGGCGCCCATACGGCAACCCTGCGGGAAAAAGAGTTTGAGAATTAAAATGCATTTTTGTTGTTATTTTTAACATGTACTCACCAACACACGATCAAAAGCGCTGGGATTGCCACCGCGTTGCACGTGACCGAGCACAGTGATGCGCGTATCTTGCTGCAGCTTGTCAACAACCACTTTTTTCACATCCTCTGCTGTGATGGGATTGCCTTCACGATCGATAGCACCCTCGGCAACGATAATGATGTTCAAGCGTTGACCAGCATTACGCTCCTGTTGGTTTGAGATTGGCGCGTGGAAATTACGCGTTGCGAAAAAAGGTCTCAATTAGTAAAGATTTCGCAAAATTATACCGTTATGTTTGCGAACATTTAGTGTGCGATACGTGTACAAGTTAATATATGAGAGAATAATTGTCCTTTTTGGTTGATTTATGTACATAAATACTCGTAATGATAACAATAAATTTGCATTTTTAGTGTAAGAATGATGCTAACGGTTTACTATAATTTTTCAGCAACTGAAATTACTGGAGCTCGAAATTTTTTTTTGTTGATTTATGAGTGACTTTCAAAAGCTAAGTTTAAAATAAAGAAAGTTTTTATAATTTATTTTTTATAACAAATTATCAAAGTGATAATTACCACATTCGAATTTTTTTAAATTAAGTTTCTAAAAATAAAGAAGGGTTTATATTATTTTAAATTAATTTTTTTAACTAAAATTTTAAATTTTGATTTTTATAAGTAAAATTGTATAATTAAAACAGATAAAATAATTATAAAAAAAGTATTCGAGTTTCGAAAATATAACACTATAGTATTAATAATTTTGTTAAATAAATGTTTATGAAAAAAATTTTATAATTTGATTTTTTATAATTTTAATATTTAATTGATTTTATTTTAATATAATTATAATTTTAATTTTATTTTACTATGAAAAAATGAATTACAAAAAATTTCGAATTTGATAACTTTAATAATAGATAAACAAAATATAATTAAAGTAAGATAAATTTTTTTTTTTTTAATTTTTCAAACAGATCTTTAAATTATTTTTAAATAAACAATAATTTGTGTTAAATAAAATTTGATATTAATTTTTTTTTATAAATAAAATTTTGTAATTAAATAAATTTAATTTCGAATTTAAAAATTGTAACAGTATAAAATGACTAAATATATTTTTAACTACATATTTTAATAATAATCTTTCATAATTTAATTTTTTATAAATAAGATTTTATAATTAAAAAGTTATAGCCATAAAAGGACTTATTTCGAATTTAGTAACTTGAATATTTGTAGTTTATAACAAAGGCTTTGTTATATTTATCTATTTTAGTAAGATATGAAACTAACATGGCAGCACCGACTATTTTTGCCTGTAATTTAGTAACAACTCGAAATAGGTGTTTCAAAACTTGTATACAAATGTATTTCAATAAAAATTAAGTTCGTAACAATTATTGAAATAATTGGCACTAACAATTTAATTTCTTATTATCCATTAAAAAAGCTTTTATTTAGATACAATTTTTAGAAATTATTGATGATTAACTTACTAACAGTTTCTTAAAAATAATGTCTTTTGAAATTGTAAATTTTTTAATTTTTTTTTTAATTTCGCTCCAAGCTATGGTACTATTTTATTTATTACGTATTATATTGTACTTTTCTTTTTTTATTTATTGAAAAAAAATATAATTTTTTAATAATTGTTCATAAAAAAATAATAATAATATTTTTAAATTTTTAAAAATTAAGTTATTTTTCTTTAATAGGGCATTCATTGATAAAAAAAAACATTTTCAAATAGTTTCTTAAAGAAACAAAAATAATAATTCTTTCAAATTCTTATCAAATGCTTTGTCACTCGAAAAATATATAAAATTAAATAAAATGCTTGTGTATAATTAATTAAAAATATTTTGGCAATAAATAGAATGTACATATAAATCATGTATGTAATATAAAATAAATAATAGTATAAATATAATTTTTTTTTTTTGATAAATAAAATGTTCACTATTTAAACCGTTACACCACTTTACACTCACTATTTACGTTTTTAATTATGCAAATAACAAAACATTACATGGGAAAATATTTAACGGTATAATTTTTATATGTTCACATCAGGGTTGCAAATAATGCATTAAAAAAATAATTGAAATAACATTTTAGTTAAACTTAATTTTAATCTCACATACCGGATTAGATAATAATAAATAAATTTTAATCCCAACCCCGGATTGAAAAATAGAAAAAAAAAATTTTAATCTCAAGCATATAATTAAGAATTAAAAAAAGAATTTATTTAAGAATAAATCTTTTTTCGCGTTTATTTAATCAAAAAATAATATTTTCAATTTTAAATCCCAAACATCTTGAATTAAAAAGTTTAAATTAAATTTTTAATCCAAACATTCGGAATTAAAAACAGAAAATTAAATTTTTAATCCAAAATTGTTCAACAAAAGAATTCGCAACCCTGGTTTACATAAATCGATAACTTTTAAGGGACAATTATTTGTATACCAAAATTGCTGTTCATTATTATTAATTAATATAAAAGTGTATGTGTCATATGTATAGATAGTATATACAAACTCAATAAATAAATGGAAAAAATAACAGAAAATTACAAGAAACTACAACTATGAAATGCGTTGAAGACGAGAATGGCTTTTGAAAAGCAGATGAAATTGAAATAAGATATACCATATATGAGTATACAAAAAATTACATATAAAATACATGAGTATATATACAAAATGAGAATAACGAATATTTCTAGTGTATGCGAAGAATGGCACAATAGAGAGATATGCGATATAAGCAACAACAAGTATGAGAGCGTATGTGAAAGTATGTACGAAGATAGCATTGATTGATATACCATGTAGAATAATTTAGAATTTGGTTTAATTTTCAAGTTTACTAAATACCACGCACAAAATTCAAACAGTAAATAACATAAAAATTACCCAAAACCCACATTTTGAACAAACAACTTAGTATACGAAGACACCAAAACTGTTTACCATACCAGTAAAATTTCGCTTCGATAGCATTATTTAATACGCACAAATATTAGCTTAATAATAATAACAAACATAAAAAACGGCATATACGAACATTAAAGGTAACTAAAAAATAATGATATTGCAGCAGAATTCAGTTCAAGCCCCAGCAAACTTCTTGACAAGCAAAATTAAAAATTAAATTAATTTACAAAAGCTTATAAACAATTAGAAACAAGTAACCGCAAAATTATTTATAAATTTAAAAAAATGTATATAAAGTTTTCCAAATTGAAACTGCACTCTGACCTGCAGTATTTTTTTGCACAATTTATCGGGCCAGTTAACAGGGACCGGCTCCTCGGGTATAAATATGAAATCAGCCTCGCTAGCTAAAGCCGCCGATATGGCTAAATAACTAAATAGAATCATAAAAACACATTATGAAAAGTTGAGCGAGCAAATGCAAATAATACGTAATAACGGTGTCATATATATGCACATACATAGGTACTTAAAGCAACTGAAAAGCGTAATATAAAGCGCCGAAAGAAAAATGTTCGGTTCACAATTAGTTTCGCTTTAAATTTAGAGTTAAAAACTGCAGTTGACAATATATTTAATGAATTTTGAGACATTTTACAATTTATACAAATTACAAATTAAATGTGAACCGAGCTTAAGAAAGTAAAACGCCGTGTAACATAAAATAATTGTTAACAAAAATATTTGAAAAAAAGTTCACTTAATTTTATATTATATAACACAGTGGGTTTTAAAACTAACCAGAAAAGGGATATAGATTAGCAATAAAAATAAAATAAAAGTGGGAAGTGCTACGGTAGGAGGGGGTGTACAGATTAAAACACTAGATATACAGATGTATGTATGTCTATATAAAAATTAGCAACAAACACAACAACTGCGCCCGCAAAGGAACAAAAGCGCGCGAACGGAGCGGCAGGGAGTCAGAAATAACACACAATTATCAATTATATACGATTCCAGAGGATATTAGCAACCGTTAAATGGGTGCGAATGATCGCGATGTGTGCAAAACTAATATTAAATAAATCAATTCAAATAATTATATGTGTTATATGAGCTAAAAGAGATCAGCTAAAGCACAGCACCTTTTTCGGTTTTTGTTTTTTTTTAGCAAATTTAATTTAAAAAAATATTGTTTCCACAGAATTAATTATAATATAATAAATTAGGTAATATATTTGATAATATTATATTAATATTGAATTATGTGGAATATAAATAATTTAATATTATCAAAAAAAATTTTTTTTATATTTTACACACAAGTAGTTTAAAAACACTTTCGTTATTTAAAAACAAAAACCAATTTAAATGTATGTTCATACACTTAATGCAAATGTTCTTCAAAACCAATTGGTTAAAATATATTTAAACTGGCAACTTTACATTGAACTTTTTAAAAATAAAATATAAGGCCAATATAGTATGTTGAATATACATTTAATTTTAACTATAAATTTTAAAAATGTAAAATTCCAAATATTTATCTTTAAACATCGAAAAAGATGCATTAGGCTTATAATTATAAAACCAATTCAAAAAAATATATTTCGAAAAAATATAAAATTTTGTTTTTGTTATAGCAGCTACGATGACTGTCGCTATAATAACTGAATGTATGTCTTCTAACTATTTGTGTACAGTGTTGATTTAACAAAGCCATTTTTTTTTTTGCATTTTTCTTGCCTGCGACAATTGCTGACATAATCTAGTGGGCCAATCTGCGCGGGGAGGATTTTCAGGTATAAATATATAATCAGCCTCACAGGAAAGACCGGCTACAAGTGCCAAATAGCTGTAAAAGATAGATGAACGCACCATTTGAAACAAAACCACAACAAATACATAACATAACACAGCATCACCGTTCATTTGAACATTTCGGAGGTATGCCAATTAGTTCTTTCAAGATATATATATATGTGAATATATGTATTTTTTTAAATATAAATATAAACGTTGAACCTGTTAATAATGCGTACGCAAGCATTTGACTTGCCAAAAACTGCATTTACTCCAGCTAGTTACCTAAAAGTATGCTACACTTATGAGATACAAAGTCACTGCCGTTTAACGGATTAATTGAACAAAAACGGTTTATGATCAGATCACATGGACACAGCAACACTTTAGAGAAGTTATTCCAAGTTATAATATATGTACATATGTATGTATGTTTGTATGTACACATTCACTTTGTAGTTATTCAATTAACACATTCACTTTATAGTTTTTAAATTAACACTATTTGTAGCCAATTCTTAATTCCAATTGAATTGTTTAAAGTTTGAGCATATCAATGCATGTACAAAAATATATGTATGTGTGTGTAACTAACATTATATTTTAACGCTCTCTTTGAAACTCGTCTTGGCTCAGCATTTCAAGCCGCAGAACAAAAAGCAGTCAACTAAACTAAAACTATTTTCATTTATCATATAACATTCAGCAATGCAAGACTATAAAATATATGTATGTATGGTATATACTATACTTATATACAAAATTATTATACTAATTTTTGTTTGAGGCCATGCTGAACCAATTGACTCAGTTGAGTTAGGTCAGTAAATTTTGATCTTTTCTTGTTTTTCATACGCAAATCAAAAATTGTCAGCATAAAGTGAGTGTGAAAGATCAATTGATCTCGAAAATTAAATGGCATGTGTGAAGTATGTCTTATTTCGCTTGCCTGTATTAGCTTATTGCATAGACGTTCGGGCCAGTCTTGTGGTGGCGGCGATTCAGGACAAAATACATAATCAGCCTCGGAAATAATACCAGTAACTACAGGCAAATAACTGTGTTTAGAAGGAATACGCATGTCAGTTAAAGGCATCAAGTTAATAGTGTTTAGAAAATTTAGATAATTCTATCCGGCCTAGTTTATATTATTGTTCTATTTTTGTGATTTCGGGGATTTTTGGATTTTTGCCAATTTGTTATAGTCTGTATTAAAGCATGTTAGGCTTTGCACTTTTTGTTATTTCAACTGACTTTTATTATAACAATAAAAAGAAAACACGTGCAACTTACCCACAATGACGGCCCATGACTTCCATAATGAATGTACGTTGATGTGAGTAGGCGGTGCTCACAATGGCGTCGATAGCCTCAATGATGCGATGTAGAGCCGAATCGGTCCCAATAGTCATATCGGTGCCGCAAAAGTCATTATCAATGGAACCGACCTAAAATAATAAAAAAAAAATTTTGGGTTAGGACACAAAAAGAGCAAAAATAAATGTTGAACGCACCCCTAATAACAACTAATTAACACATAGTATACATATCCCTGTAACTAAGCTCATTTTCTATATACAAATTCTTTAAGACACCCTTTAATAATTTCTACAAACTTTCGCTTCCTCTTTTCAATCATATTTATGCTCACCATGCCGACAATATGTAACACGTCGAACTTTTTGCGTTGCTCGGGTGTAATTTTTTTGGACTCGAGCAGCTCATCCAACAAACCGGACCACTCGTTACGGAAGCAATTAGCACCAGTAAGAGAACCATCGCCCCCAATGACAACCAAGTTGGAGATTCCTAGTCAAAATTTTACAAATTAATTATTTACACCACTAAATGTACGTATGTAGAATGTATGTACATACCTTTTTGAATCAAATTAAATGCGGCCTTTAGACGACCGGCACGTTCGCGGAATTCAGCGCAACGTGCTGAACCAATAACGGTACCACCACGATGAATAATCGAAGACACAGATGACCAGTTAGCTTCGACAATATTGTCCCCACCATCAACCATGCCCTGGTAGCCTTCTCGAATGAAGTAGGCCTATAAAGAATAAAATAGATAATGCCATTATTTAGAATTTAAATAATAATACCAAATAATTTTTTAAAAACCTAAAAAAGCAATGGGAAAAAAGCTTACGTTTTCGTTTATAGTTTACAATAAAATTTAATCTTTTGACTAAAACATTACAAAATAAAAATTTATTATTTTTTAATAACATTGCGACGTGCTAGTGTAAGATAGCAAAATATTTACATATGAAAATAAAAACACAGAGATAAGATTCGCATGACTAAAATCAAACTTTTAAAACCACCTGTTTAGTTGATCAGTTATGATTCACGCAAGAGACATAATATAAAAACATCATGAATTATTTAAACAATAGTCAACTTAATCCAATGTAAACCAATTAAAATAAACCCGAAAAATGTTTAGAATACAAACCAAAATTACTAACTACAACCGGTTGGAACCACTCCGAAATAAATACATGCAGTAAACAATTGAAAAAAAAAAATAAACAATTTGTGATATATGTATGTAATACCAAAGTTCATAATTTCTATTGACAATCAATAATTTTTCGGCAGCGTATTTTAAAAGGGCACAGCAAAGTCAAAACTATAAAAATTAAAATTTTTCCATTTCGTCATAAATGCACGCATACATATTTTTGTTATATGCTTTATCATTTCATGTGTGCATGCTATACCATACATAGTATTACAGTAAACAAAATAAAAATAAGCGAATTAACCATTAAATTTAACTAAATTACACACGCTCAAAAATAATTTAATAATAAAAATACTAAATAACCAATTTAAAAGTTTATATGCAAATATGCTACAAATTCATATATGCATATATTTAATTAATTTAAATAAATAAAAAAGAAGATGGCGTCAAAAATATTAACATTTTGCAACCGTGTTTTTCTATTACTACATATAAGCATGAATTTCCGTTATTTTTAGCAGAAAACAATAATTGTAATTTCACTTTTATTTGAGGTAATTTAAATGGCGATTAGACAGCTGCAGATATTTATTATGTAGCGGGACAGATCAGTGTAATGAGAAAACGACGAGCGAGAGACGATCTTTTGTGCATTACAAGCAATTAAATCATACAACTGCATATGTATATATGCATATATGCACCTATCTGCAAACAAACGTCTTTGATGGTATACAAATGTGTAAAGAAAAATATACATATTTGTACGTATTTCTCTATAAAACATTTACTAAAAATAAATCCATTGCCATGGTTATGCATTAATACCACGCAACAGTTTTAAATAACCACTTAAGATTTAATATTAAATTATTTTGATAAAACATTTTGATAGCGAAATACACATAAGTATTTATATAAGTCAATTAACCACAACCGATAAGCATGCCTTAAGCACACACCCACAACCCAGCCTCTTCTTACCTAACTTGCAAATATGAGTAGTAAAAAAAATACATACCTTGCATCCCAAGTAGATTGCCATGCGCACACACGCACGCACAGCGGCATTCATGCCTTGTGAGTCGCCACCACTGGTAAAAACGGCAAGTCCCTTGCCCTTATGTGAGCCACGCTCAATGAAACGTTCGTTTGGCATTTTTTCGCTTACTCCTTTGCTTTCAATTAAATTGAATAAACAATATTAAATAATTTATGCTCTGAATTCGTACACGAATTTCAGTTATATTGTAAAGCGCGTTATATACTATGAGTATTTTAAACTATATTTCAATTTCAACGGTCTATTTATTACACTGGAGTATAGCGAAAGAGTCCAGATTTAAGACTGCTCATCAACTCTTTATTACTCTCTGGTACACAGATTGCATTCGCCGCTTATAACCGTTTAGCACACACCGAAGTATTGAGATTTGGAGGCACGTACGTTGGCTTATGCCTTTTAGCACTCACTGGAACTGCTTCGCTTTGAGTCACTCGATACAACAATTACGAAAAGTTATCCAAAATTTGCGAAATTTAGCGAAGAAAAGGGTAAATTCTCGTTTTGTATGCCCGCTCAGCAGCAACCAAGGTGACACAATTTGACGTTTCAAGGTGACCTTTATCGATTGGAGCGCTGCATAGTTGACAATTGCGTTTAGCGTAAACACAACAAATAGGGTAAACAACCTAAGATAAATACTAAAAGTGGTTAATTGCACGAAATAGAATTACAATTTAAAATATTTTTCATAATTTCTACGGAAAAATCATTAGAGAAATAAGCTATGTATATTTCGACCATATATATGTTTTTAAACGATATTTAGACTTATTATAAAAAAAATTTAAATACACATTATTCAACAGCAAAGCACAAACTTACCCTATTTGAGCTGTTGACAATCAGCTGTTGCACAGCTGCTGTCGCTACAGACCACAGAACTAATCAATTCAGTTCTTTAGATAAGGTACCACAAATCACATATGTAACTTATTTCACCTAATTGCTAATCTATATAATTTACAAATTTTAGAATATATAGAGGAATATTATTTCCAATTATAAACATATGTATGTTTTACGTAGATGATGTTTTTAAAATTACAATAGCTACTAAAAAAATTACCTACTTTACAGATATTGTCCTACCTTCACTAAAATTTGCATTGCGCATGATTATCGGTCCAACATTGCGTTAAGCTGATATCTATAGAATCGCTGTATAAGAATGTAACTTAATATACAACTTACTCGTGTGCGCATAGCCTAAATCCATTATATCCACTTTAACGGCTTGCAAGCGGCGCGAGAATTGAAGTAGCCATAGATGCACAATACCTTCCGCCTCTCATTATTTTTAATTCTGCAAAGGTGGCCTCTTACGGACTCCTCTTTTTTTAAATTAGTTCAGCACTGCGCCATTCTTGTTAACTAGCTTATAATTATTAATTATAAAGTCACAACTATTTGACGAAATTCACTCAATATGCACAACAACCGGCACTGAAAACTTTGAAAAGTAAACAGATTGAATTCGCCTTGTAAACAATTTCTAATTTGACATAGTAAGCGCTCTGAATTCGCTTTGTTTGTTTTTGCGAATTCTTTTGTTGTACATATATTATAATAGTTTTGTAACAATTGTATCGTGGCAGAATGAAAAATTACTTATAAATAGCTTATATAGCAGATAAAATACTTTTTTGTTAGTTAGAACATTTAGTAAGCCATATGCCGGGTTTTGCCTACTCTTCTAAAAACAAGCCGCTGGAATGACGGAAGGATATATGCATGTAAATGCTTACTAAATTTGCTACTATTTTCAATTTTTTTTTTTAACGTAATAGATCAGTATGTAACAGCCTTTACGGTAACGAGACCCATTATAGCATATGGCGTTTGCAAATTTATTAAAAATGTAATGACATATAAGTAACAGCAAGTGTGGCACGCGTAATCATAATAGATTAGTAGGTTAAAAACTAACAACTATGGTATGGGTGTCATCTTCGAATTGTAAAGCGTTTTCATAACAACTTCCGTGCAACTTGCCTCCATCTGATATGCATTTCTTTTGTGATTTTATCGTACATATATAACACTTTATCTTTAAATGGGAAATCAGTATGTAAGTGAAATATTTTGATAAAAACATGTATAGCTCCGCTAGTAAATATGCAACTATGCCTGAATGTTATTAGATGCAAGGTGGATCTTATAAGTTTCAAACCGGCTCAGAACGACTAATATTTTTTATGCGAATCCTTTTCTTAACAGAAATGCACTAAAAGGTTAGCATTACCTACCGTTGGCGCCAACTATTAAACAATCAAAACTGGGTAATGTAAATACCCCTAAGCACTACACCGCGGCGGTCGTACGTGTTTGAAAGAAAAAAACATATTTCGAAATATTCCTTTGGTCTACTTGCCAATTATGTTACTAGTGTATGGTGGAACTAAAATATCTAAACGTGGCCTCAATGCTGCATTTAACCTGTAACTCACAATTTGTTTTTGATATGATGCTCGTTGTTAATGAGGAACTTTTGAAGAAAATTATAAAATGCTAATATTTACCATTAATTTATATAATATTTACGCCTTTACCACCACGAAAGAGAAACGCACAGTATAGCTTGTGTTTTAAATTATCTTTTATTGTTTTTTTTTATAATTAAGAAACTGTAATTTCAATAAACTTAAATATTTCAATCTTCGCCTCCATGTGTTTTTGTTTTAATTTTTTTATGTTTTGTTATTTTCAATTTTAGTTCTTGTGTTTTGTTTATTTATTTACGCTTGCTTGTTTTTACGATTTTCTCTTGCTTTTAGCGTTATGTTTGAAAAATTATGCATTTATAGTTCATATGCGAATACACGCACAAACATATGCATATATAATATATGTAAGTATGTACATATTTATGTAGGCATATGAAATATAAATATGCGCTCATTTCCAAAATTTTACTTTTCCTCCTTTTTGTTGTTGTTGTATTTGCATGTATACAACAACATGTATGCATATATACGATACGCATTTTGCATGTGATACATCATAACTGCTGGACAATATTTCATTTATTATAATAATATAATTTGTTTGCATTTATTTTATATGTATTTCATATGAAAGAAGTTATGCATTGAATTAAAAATTTGAATAATTAGCGCATTTTAGTTTTGATTTCACGGTAAATTTACTCTGTGTGTGTGTGTGTATATTATTTAAGCATCCGCATTCGCGTCTCACGGCATATTATTGCAGTGAATGCTTATTGGATACATACATACTACTATTTGTTGCACTTGCCTCGCCTATATATATTTACCACCTTACACTTTCGGGGACATTTTGGAATAAAAAAGGGTTCTTAAAATTTAGTACATACATTTTTGGATTTTATTTGCTTGAGTTCGGTATGTATGTTGTTCCATTATGCAAAAATTTATTTATTTTGTATTATTTTAATTTTTATTATTATTATTATTATGTATAATCTGCATACGCTGAAGATTGGGAAGCAATATATGTATGTATTTATATTTTTGATTTTGTGTTTTTTTTTTGTTTCATTTTCTCTTTAGTTAATAGGTTTAGTTTAGGTTGTAGTACAATATTCTGTGTGTTTCTAGTTATGTATGCATATGAGTAATGAAAAACTGAATCCCGATTGTATTGTAGCCAATTAATAGTTGTTGTTGTAGTGAAATATACTCTATTTACGCTTTCTTCAAATATGCGCTGCAACAGAGTGGCGCGAACAAATTGTGAAATGCACATGCTGAAGAGGTGTGTAGCGGTTTGAATAAGACATCAAAGCGATTTACAGCACAGTTAGACCAACTGGTGGTGCACGCATTCGTACATGCTAAAACATTTAGGGAATATTTTAAGGGAGCTAGATATCGCCATTATTAGATCATTATGTGCAACATCAAGATTGCAACGAATTAATTTTTTTATTTCTTTGTTTGTATGTATGTGTATAACATGGTATATGCATGTGTATGAAGTTGTATACATATGTGCGTACATTCATACATATTTTATAGAACATATCGTGTGTACTTACTTACCAATGAATATCTAATTGTATAATGAATCAATTTTCTTACACAAAATATGTTGAGAAGACATTCACACACGCATGGATTTAAACATACATATATAGTGTATATGTAGAGTTGTCAAATTGTTGAAACATTAATTATTTAATAACATCTGATTAACGGTATTTGCATAGCTACTAAACTTGTAAGTATTAAGTGAAAGTGATAGTTTTAAAGACTTACAAATAACGCTAAACAGCACCTCACACATTTGCCTTGTTAAAGACACACAAATTTGTATGGACACCTGGAAAAATTATGCTTTACTTTAATTTATTCAAGTTTTATTTTTCTTTTGCTTTTAGTTTATCTCTACTTTATTGCTGAACGTTTTTTCGCCTGTATTAAAAAATACCAATTTTCAAAGTTTATGTCGACAGTGCTAAATTCTAACTAACTCGCACGCAAATTGAATAAAAAACGGCATATCGCTAATAAAGCAATATTATTTAGTCTTTACGATCCACGTATTCGTTATTCATCGTTCAATAGCATAGCTAAGCGGCGCAATTACCACCGAAAAATCATTCATCGCAAAGTCATAACCTCAAACTTGGCATAGGAAACCATTAGCTTATTAACAACTATATAACTGTAAATAATTTAGTGACATTACACTATCATGTGCCCAAATATATTATATATACATTAACTGCACATCTAGAACATATGTATAAATACATAACAATAAATGTACATACACATACAAACATATCCATATGAATATATCCTGAAGTCAGCGATTACCCGCAGCAAAAGAAACAGTTTCGAAAAGCTCTGTGATGAAGCGAACATAGACCCATGGGGAACTGCGTACAAAATTTGCAGGTCAAATTTTAAAAAGTCTCAGCAGCCTAATAGCGCATCCTTTATGAAAAAAGTAGTCGGGTCATTATTTCCGACACACCACCCTATCTCATATGCTAAGCCACGAAACGATGCTGCAGAGCCACCATTATTGGTCAACGAAGATGAAATATTGACCATAGCTAAAAGAACAAGAAACAACAAAGCGCCTGAAATAGATGGTATACCCAACAGAGCCCTAAAGGAAGCCATGACTATAAAACCCAGTTTGTTGCAGATGACCTCGGGCTCAAATGCAACGATGGCATAAATGGTCTACGCCAATGGTTTGCTACCATGAGTTTAGAGCTGGCAGAGCAGAAAACGGAAGTCTTGCTCATAAGCACATGGAAAGTGAAAGAAAGGTTAACACTCACCATAGGAGAGTGTGAGATTACTTCACAGATGCAGCTGAAGTATCTGGAAGTAATACTAGACTCCAAATTAAAATTTAAGAAACACCTGGCATATATTTCTGGTAAAGCAAACAAAATTTATAACGCTCTATCGAGAATGATGCCAATAAAGGCTGCTTGCGTTCCAGCCGGCGGCTTTTAATAGCAAAAGCAATGAGTTCCGTGGTTTCAGTGCGGTCTTCAAAAGTAAAAAAAGAGGAGAGAACCAAGAGCCTAACAATGTGGCAGCAGCGGTGGCAAACCTCATCTAGAGGACGATGGACCCACAGACTGATTTCGGACATTCATTCGTGGATAGACAGACGACATGGGGATCTGAATTTCCACCTAACACAAATACTGAGTGGGCATGGATGCTTTAGAAAGTATCTCTTCAAAATTCATTCTGAACACGTATTTTTTCAGTGCCCCGTTTTTTAAATATTAGGGAAAAGTAAAAATCTAAACTCGGCGGTAGTCTAACGGTGGAAACTTTGACAGTACGTATGTGTCAGTCCTCTGATAAATGGAAAGCAGTCAGCGAAGCGGCAGCTCTAACTATGACAAAACTGAGATACTTACAACAAATTAGAGGTCAGTCAGTCCGTGCCGTAGAGGAGACCTAAATGTCATTTTCTCTCCCATAAAGTAATACTTAATCTGGTGGTTCCGTGGGAGCGACATGAGTTAGGAGTAGATTAGGTTTAGCGGATTAAAGTTCCGCACTTCGGCTTTCGATGCTTTCTCCTACTTAAAAAAAAAAAAAAAAAATTTTAATATGAAAACTTTCAACTTTCGTTTAATGAAGTTTGTGTTTTAATTAAACTGAACTGGAATTTCTTTATAACTTTCGACTTCAATTACATTATTCATTATTTGCTTGCGTAGAAAGTACAGTTATGTATATGTATGTAATTACATGCTTTAAATGTTTATGGCTTTCATATATAATTTTCCATATCACAACATACATACATATATATATTCGTATTATAAATATATTAGTTATTAATGTAGATATTTAAAAAACCACACAGATTGTTTTGGTTGAAAATTTTAAGATGTCACATACATACATACATATACACGAAAATTGTGGTATTTGCGTAAAAACTTCGATAATGTCTTCACACTGGGATAAAAAAGTTTCAGCCGCTCAAGCTTACACCGTAGTGTTTTTTGTTTTTAATATTTATTTAGCATATCTAAGTAATTTATGTATGTACACATGAAATATTCAAGATTAATATTCCCAAAACTAAAAAAAAAATTACTTCAAACTTTAGCTAAACACTGCTACAATTTCTCTAAACCGGAAGCTCAATTAAGTGCGCAGCCTAAAGGTAGACTACACTTTCGTTCAATGTTACTACATGATAGTAACTCTACTTGGCATAATTTTTGAAACCCGTATAGCGAGCTGAACAAGTCTGTTATGCACAAAGCAGTTGCCAACACCTACAAATGTATGTATATAAATACTAAAATAAACCTTTCCCATCTAACAGACAAACATATGCACACACATATGCATTTTTTATTATGCTTGCCATATATACGAGTATGACTCGCCTTCGTACTGCAGTGTATGCAATTTTGACTGACTTGAGCGTTGTCGCCGCTGCAGTTGGAATATGAAATATACATAAAATTATTATGTGAACTTTGTTTACGTTTGTTTTTAATTCGGTATATTTTTATTATTTTATGACTTTTCACATTTAAATATCGTATTTTATAGTAAATATATACTATATATATTTTTCTTTCCTCAAATCTTCCATATTTAAATTATCTTGCATATACTTATGTTGTTGTAATGTTATAATGCACAAGCTGATGAGACAAATACGAATACGTTTACGAATATGAATACGAGAATACCATACAGTAAGTAATGATTGATAAGTGAGAAAAAAATTTTATTTAGCCGTTAATTTTATTTTAATTATTTTTGAATTTCTTCTGTTTTAGTTGTAAAAGGTACTCGGTACACACACAAAAATTGGCATCAAATTGCTGATTTCATTAAACTTTAATATCAATTACATACATACATCGAATGCTTAATGCTGCGAATTATTGCAAATATTTGAAATTTCGAAAAATTAAAACACAACAGATTACAATTAACAAACACAATATAAATTTGAATAACGGTAAACATTTGATTGATATATATTTGAATAGTACAAAAAAAACACAGAATCCCATTCAAACGCACATACAAACAACTTCAATGCAAAGTGTGAAAACTGAAGCGTATGAAGGGAGTGAACATGGATTTTTGGGCTTAGATGTTGTTGTTTTACTATTTATAGCTTATTGTTCACTCTAAAATCTGCATAAAACCTTTTGGAATTACGCGAATGTATGTAGATAGAGCATTTCATTTGTTTTAATAACGCTGACTTTCGCGTATCGAGTTAATGCATTTGAC